CACCAGTTCTCGTCCGATCACTGAAGTTAAGCAACGTCGGGCTCGGTTAGTACTTGGATGGGTGACCGCCTGGGAGCACCGAGTGCTGTAGACTCCTTTTGCTGGTATTTCCCCTTGATTTGCGAGAAAGACCCACCAGAAAAATTCCTATATAATGTCTACGGCCATACCACGTTGAAAGCACCAGTTCTCGTCCGATCACTGAAGTTAAGCAACGTCGGGCTCGGTTAGTACTTGGATGGGTGACCGCCTGGGAACACCGAGTGCTGTAGATTCCTTTTTGCTGGTATTTCCTCTTGATTTGCGAGAAAGACCCGCCAGAAAAATTCCTATATAATGTCTACTGCCATACCACGTTGAAAGCACCAGTTCTCGTCCGATCACTTAAGTTAAGCAACGTCGGGCTCGGTTAGTACTTGGATGGGTGACTGCCTGGGAACACCGAGTGCTGTAGACTCCTTTTTGCTGGTATTTCCCCTTGATTTGCGAGAAAGACCCGCCAGAAAAATTCCTATATAATGTCTACGGCCATACCACGTTGAAAGCACCAGTTCTCGTCCGATCACTGAAGTTAAGCAACGTCGGGCTCGGTTAGTACTTGGATGGGTGACCGCCTGGGAACACCGAGTGCTGTAGACTCCTTTTTGCTGGTATTTCCCCTTGATTTGCGAGAAAGACCCGCCAGAAAAATTCCTATATAATGTCTACGGCCATACCACGTTGAAAGAACCAGTTCTCGTCCGATCACTGAAGTTAAGCAACGTCGGGCTCGGTTAGTACTTGGATGGGTGACCGCCTGGGAACACCGAGTGCTGTAGACTCCTTTTTGCTGGTATTTCCCCTTGATTTGCGAGAAAGACCCGCCAGAAAAATTCCTATATAATGTCTACGGCCATACAACGTTGAAAGCACCAGTTCTCGTCCGATCACTGAAGTTAAGCAACGTCGGGCTCGGTTAGTACTTGGATGGGTGACCGCCTGGGAACACCGAGTGCTGTAGACTCCTTTTTGCTGGTATTTCCCCTTGATTTGCGAGAAAGACCCGCCAGAAAAATTCCTATATAATGTCTACGGCCATACCACGTTGAAAGCACCAGTTCTCGTCCGATCACTGAAGTTAAGCAACGTCGGGCCCCATCAGCTGATTTCTTTTTACGTTAGTTTCTTAAGCGCCCTGTAAAATGGATATTCAATGACAACTAGATTATGTGCAACATTGTTCCATGAGGCCGTATTGAACTATTTTATTTGACGTACGCTAGAGGGCTTTCGACTCCATCTAACAAACTAAAGAGATCAAAAAATTACCTTTATCTCGGAGTTTAATAACGCTAATTTGTGCCGATGAGTTTCGTTATTTTTTAATTAAAAAAAATTGTTTCATATTTAATGAGTTAATAACCGTTTTGTAACGCGGGCGGTCATAATTTTAAAATGTTGTGGAATATGGTGAATTATGCAATACAAGTCATGTCATGGGTGTTTCTAACAGGCCTACGAAGGTTGGAATACTCTCTTGAAGTCTCAATTGTGGTAAAATTTCAATGTTTAGCCGGGGTTGCCTTGTTCAGTGAATTATTTTGGCCTCCTTGCCTTTGTGACATCATAGACCTTAACATAATAATTCTATCGACTTTTTGTAAAAGTAGAAGTGGTTCAGATTGGAAATGTCATGTCAATCCACCTAAATACAAGGCTATGTTAATATGTGTTTATGTTCTAAATTGTTTGTAGGCTAGAGCACCACAATGTCCCAACTCTTCCAGAGAACCATTAAAGGACTAGATATACTGGATGTTCATTTGAAAGATTTGAAATTTATGTAACAGAAAATACAAATACACCTACAAGAGTACATTATAGTTTATTATTAACAACAACAATTATAAAATATGTTCAAAAATATAATATATTAATAATTATATAGAATGTTATACTACTCAACGAAAGGCACTAATAGCAAGTCATAGTTGTATATTGTATACACTTATATCAGTATAGTTACAAATATCATAGCTGTATTAAAAAGGATCCAATAATTCATTGTTATCAAATAATACTGATGAAAGAGAATAATAAAACAGTCATAATTTACCAATAACTCTGCCAAACTTTTTGGCAGTCATTTTACCCTTTCCCATCACAGCTGGAACTTGGGTGACTGGAATAATGGGGCTTTAACATTGCTAAAAATATTTTATTTCAAGAGTAAATAATTTTTTTTTATATAAAAATCTGTTTTGGAAAAATGAAAAAATGCTTATTCAAAGATTCTCAGATTGAGATAAGATACCTGAAAGTTAAATGGATGTATTTTAAAAAACAAATTTTAGTGGTTTACGGTATAACAAATTAAATTCAGTTTCATGTTTTGACCAATAACCCAGTTTAATAAACATCAATCATTAAGATTTGGCATAACAATACTTAAAGCTCCACCCACTAAATGTAGACTGCCTGTTATCAATATCTGAATGTGAGAGGCATCATGAAATTCAGATGGTATATCAGGAACTACACAGTTTTTTTCAACATTTACACATTTATCTTTCCCTTGTGTTGCCCAAAATAAGGCACTGGATATGCAAGGTAATATGTGAGTATGGTATTTTAGGTTCTCCATATCTAACGCCTCTCCATTTACCACAAAGAGTTCATTTTGAGCTCCATTTAGCTCCTCACCCAATTTACTTGTACCAAAATGTTCTGATGTTCCATTTTGAAATATCTCTCCCCGAGTTGTCTTTGAGTGTTCACGTTCAAAATTAAGAGTTTCCCAGATTGATTTGTAATATTCACAATTTTTATTTCCTGCAGTTTCTGTCATTGCTTTATATTCATTATCTAGAATTATATGGAAAAATGAAAATTATAGCCGGTTACATTTCAGAGGCTCAGAATATCCTTCGATAATAGAAATATTAGAAATGATGATGTTTTGTTGTTTTTCTTAAAGTTACCTGTAGACAACTTACCGCTGTGATTAGGATCTATGGCAGAATAAGCTAAATTTGGTGTAAAAAGAGCTCCATTAAAATTACATCTCTGAAATAAGGTAGACATTGTTATAGAAAGATGGTATGGGTCAAATTTAATAGAAGTACTTCAATATGATCTAGGTTATCTAGACACAATAGATACAGTTCAACACCTGATTCTCCTTTATGTCATTTACATCCAAATACTTCCATACACCATGCCTTTCATATACCAAATATGATTAAATTCTAATTTGGTGCATGAGAACATCTGTATGGTAATAAAAGGCTGATGATGTCTTCGGAGTGAAAGTGTTGGCTTAATATTTATGTGTTTCTTTTCCATTTATTTTGATACATATGAGCATTACTTCAAACTGTTTGTCTATAAATATTATATACTTTTCCCGGCATTTTTATACAGAAGGAAAAAGGGAATAAATATAAAAAATTGAAGTAGCAGGCATAAAGAGATTCATTGGAAGTTAAGTCAAGTTTCAAAGGAATGACAGCAATCCCAGCTATTGCATTATAGGTGATATCTGATACTAATATATAGGCCAGACAACTACTATAAATCTTGTAGTATTACCTGAAGTTGATTTAGAAGTATACTAACATCTCTACCACGACCACCAGTTAAATTAAACACTAATATTTTTACTACTTTTCCTCTGAAATACATGTATAACAATATCATATAACTTGACAACCAATTCAAAACAAATTATCATATATTTCAAAGGAAACATCTAGAATTTCAAAAAGAAGTCAATCTTCAGAATACTTGAACTGACTTACTTTACAGCCTTGGCTTCTTTCGTAGATGATTCGTTAAACCAATCCACACATTGCTAAAAAATAACCACAAAATTTAGTTATATACAGAATGTAAGATATTCAAGTTGGTCTTTCTATATGCATCAGGAACATAGCACTCCTCATGAGTGGTTCTGTATATGATTATCTATTATGACATTGCTAGTGCAAATACTTGTGAAGTCAACTGGTATATTTGACAGCAAGTTTATAATCCAGTTGATTTTCTTCTGAAATCACAGGATCTACAGAAGAGAAATGGGAATGGCACAAACAGAAGTTATAAATGTCATCAATACACATATACAAAGTCTAGTTTGCGATGTCAGCATCTGCAGGAAGTTAACGTTAACTTGTCATCTACCAATCAACCACATACAAAGGCTAGTGAATTCCTTCTACATTAATCAATCTAAACTAAATTGACCCGTTCCCACCCAACTCACACAAAAAAAAATGCCTGAAATCAGAAAGATGAAAGTTACACACTTTATCTAGTTTTTATAGAAATATCTGATGATTTAACCCAACTTCTAAAAGTTTTAAATGAATTTGTATAAATATTTAACAGAAAAGACAGCAAAATGAGGTTTGAAATTGCCAAGAATAGGCCAAATTCGTAATTGGTTTAGAATTACCTGAACACTTTCAAGTGTATGAGCACCATCTAAATAATATGTTATACCAGGCCTTTGTATAGTTTGATTTCTACCATACCATATACATTCCTTTAAACCTACAGTTAGTTAATTTACATTATTTTAAACTTAGTTGCAAATATGAAATACAACCTTACATTATACATTTCTGCATGCATGCAGTGTACCATGAGGAAAATTGACAGCCAGTACCATTGAATAATATATGGCCCTTCAATCTACATCCATGACAGGGCAAGTCAATATAAAATTGAAAGGCTCTATCTCATCTTATGCATAGAATGAATAAAATAAAACTCTTTGTTCTTTGCAACTTGAGACTAAAAATAAAGAGTCCTGCTACTATTGTTTAGATTGACAAAGAAAACGAAACAATATTCACCTTGTTTTTCAACATCTGTAAGTGGGTCCACATCAATAACTGGTATACCACACAATTTGTTACTAGAATCCATTGATGATGGCAGGGCTGAATTGTTTGCTCCTGAAAAAATAATTTCAGATCAACTATTATATACCTGTGTACTAATAGGGAAAAAAAGTGGCACAGGGTCTCTGTTTATCCACGCAAATGTTATTATTAATCATAAACAAAACTTTACTTACCTGAGTGTGTTTGCTTCCATATTTTACATAACTGTACAGCTAGAGAAGCATTTACAATCTGTTTGTCTCCATTAATACCAAGTTTGATATCTTGAGAGACATTATCTATACATGATGTTACATACACTGGATTCTATAATAAAATAGACAACAGTAAAAGAAAGTTTCCTGACACTAACTATAAAATAATGCACCATTTAGAAAGTCTGGTTTAAAGGCTTCCAATTTCAAGTAAAATGTTAAAGCAAAATGGCAAGGATGGGAGGTGATAAGGTTAACCAATAATAGAACAAAATGGCATATTTAACATATTTTGTTCAGATCTAGGTCAGTATTAACAGGTTGTTGATAAGATATCTAATTGGCAAAACGTAAAGTCACATCCTTGATTTCACTCATACTCACATTTTTTTCTACAGATCTGTCATGTATAACTTTCATTGCTTCTGGTGGTTGTTCTACTGTGACAGCTGGCACTCCTTCCTAGCAATATAAATACAGAAAACACATTATTACCATGTTGAATCTTTGAAATGGAGTCAATTCAAGTCATCTAGTCATAGAGACATCAATGTAGATCATTAACCACTTACCTTAAAAATGCCTGCTTTATTCCAAGCAATGGATGCCAAATCTTTGCCTAAAATAGTGGTGTGATCTAAACCAAGAGAAGTAACTCCACAAACAATTGGGTGTTTGATAAAGTTGGTACTGTCATACTCTCCGCCTACTCCAACTTCCATAATGGTCACATCAACCTTCTCTTCCAGGAATATATGACAAGAGAGAACTGTCAGAAATGCAAAATATGGTGGCATCAGGTTATCATAACTTTCCTGAAATTCAACAAAAAAGCTGAACTATAACAGTCCTATACACAAGCCTAGAAAGTTGCCTCTTGCCTAATAAAAAAAATCCTGCCAAATGCTATTTAAACTATTTAAAATGTTCAAGTGTCAACTTTTTTTTAGTAGGTGATTGAAAATTACACATCGATTTAAGCAAAATAAACACCATGTTGTAGAGAAATATGTCTCCTAATTATTTTCAGGTATAACGTTTTTGATAATAAAAATTTTGTATACTGCCCTTTTATCTTTAACAAATGCGCTCCAGTGGATATATTTTGAGTTAATGTTTTAAGTTTGTAACACTGATGAATAAATATATATCTAATTGTTTAGAGGTGTATAAATATAAAGTTTATCCACTATTCTTTATACAAAGCAAGACCAGGTTTTGTGAAAATCATGCATGTATTTGATATTATTACCTCTGATAACAATATTGACAATGTACTTACCTTGCTTGCATCCAATTTATTATAAACATGCCAGAAATTAGAAGTAAATAATTCTTTTGAGATTGGTTTCCCATTAATACGGAATCTCTCTCGGACTTCAACTAAATGTGGAGAACTAAAAATACAAAATCATCTTGCTTACACTCAGACAGTAATATTTTCTTTTGAACTCTTTTAAAGATAGAATGTAATCACATATTATATATTTTCTCTTCTTAGCTTGCATCAAAATAAATTGAAGTTGTGCTATAAATTATAATGCCTTTACATTTGGACCCAGTAGGAATAAACTACTACTATCTACTATCTATTTCACTGATTTACCTAAAAAATGCTGTTTTATATCCTTCATGACGTAAAATACTTTCACAATATGCTGCTGTAGAACCTTTACCCTTGGTACCACTAATATGTATTATAGATAACTTATCTAGATCATCTAACTGAAATTAACAGTTTTAAATCAAAATATTTTACACAAACTGCTTTACATTAGTCTGAAATCAACAGCTCACACCTACTTTCATTTTCATATCATTTCAAAAGGTGCAATTTACATTAAATCCATACATTTTTTAGATCAGAGCATTGTCTTCTATCTTTCAAAACCATAAGTTTACTTCTGTGCACCTTATTCATGAATATCATGAATTTGAGTAAAACCTTAAGGGGGACTGAATAAGCTTTCTTTTGGTATTTCCATCAGTTGAGATATGTTTAATGTGTACATCTCATAGCAAACTAGGCCTTGGTTTAATGTTTAATCTGAATGAGTAAACATATTTTCCATTTCAGACCCTCTAACTTTTATCACTAACAGGAGGAAACAATAGGTAGAAAAAAACAGATGTTATTTTAACCTAGGCCTACATATAAATTTAGCCTACTGGGATTAAGCCTTAGACTTCCAGGTTATACTGACTATAATGACTAAGAAATTCTAACTCCTTATTCAGTCAGAGGCCCTCTCCTTTTTCTTAAGTTGGTGAATCGCATAATATACTTACTGTTAATCCAGATCTGTGAATATAATCTACCATATTCTGTAATCTTTTCGCTGCAGTTATTTGACATCTCTCTAGAGTAAGAGCATTTGATTGAAGAGAATTGAGAGTTCTCACTGCCTCCTGGAATAAATCATTTAACCATGTAAATCAAAGATTTTATATTAAAGGGACATTGTCATTGTCTATTTAATGTTCAAACAAAACTGCTGTAACTAAAAATACTTTTCTCAGTGGCTGTGCCCCTTTAATATTTTCTAAGACCATTGAATGAATTGGATGACCTATTAAAAAATACAATTTAGAACCGGTAGCCTATTTAAGAAAACTTGGTTAATTTTTTATCAAAAGCTTAAATACATTTAGGAGTTTTAGGTATAAATGTCATATATTCTTGAGAAATATTAGTATCAGTAAGAAAATTGTTTACTTCAAATGAGAACAAATGATCATTCATTCTTGAACTAGCCTATGTCCTACCATCCAGGCATCCTATTCACCACTTAGATATATCCTATACAAGTATATTATGTCCTTTCAAAAACAGGATTCAGATTAATGTATTAGAATGAACTGTATTATACTACCTCACTATTCATGATCGTAACCCCTTTTTATCTCCGTTACGGTACCTTAAACATCACATTAAAGTCATAGTTTGATTTTTGAATAATAAATTTACATACCGGTACGTATACTTACACTATAAAAAAAAACATAATTATAGGCTTACAAAGTAAAATTATAGCACTTTTTACATTCTTTAATTATAAACATTATCAGCAAGTGTTATAAAGACTTAAATCAGAAATACAACATTTTCAAAAAATCAAACTATATCTTTAATGTTTATCTTTAATACAAAGTTTATTATCAATAACCACGTGGGTCTAGTTTTCTCAAAAATTAAACTCTGAACTGTGTTTTACCTCATAATGTTTTATCATATTTGGCTTATGAAATAGACTTTGACTGGTGTAATGTGATGACAAGAAGCTTTTCACCATTTTACACAGTTTATAACGGCAAAACATCCCGTTATGTGTACAGTCACTGTTGAATCGCGTGCGTTTCCCATGTGAAATGATTGGCGAGAGTGAGAACAATTTACATTGGTCGATAACTTTTATAACCAGAAACATACTGAAACAGGCCTGGGTTTGTTTCGTAAAAGTAATATACTACAGAATAAGGCGGAAACTTTAAGGGTTTTATTCAAATTTATCAAATGTTATCTTCAATATTGTCATAATTGACGTCTTATGTTATTCTGACTGTATTGTAAAGAATCATGGCAATGACCATATCAAAAGGTCGTATTTGATATACAAAAAAAGAACAATCTCAATTTCGAAAACTGTCAAAATAGGATGATATAGGTCAACTATTGGACAATCGGTTTCTTTACACATAATACGTATCTGAAAATACATATGTTTTTTTAGTCTTATAAGCAGAAACAAAATTGTTCATTCAAGAACGTTGTACAGAACAACCGTGCTTGCAAGAAACAAGTGCGACCAGATAGAACAATCGACCAGTCTACCAAAAAACCAAACAAGAACTGGATAATCTTTATTTGGTTCCGCGTAAAATCATTTTTGATTTGTTTCTTTAAACTCCAAAGATAGGGGAGACATGGGAAGGCAGATTTTTTCATACGAATATCGACTCTCTGGTCACAACTAGATCAAGATAAGATTTCCGAACAAAATAATATAAGCTCATTTTAGCCACTAGGCTGAGTCATGCAGGCCCGTAGCTAGTTTCGGGTTTCAGGGGGCTTAATTGTGTAAAACAACAAGTCATTCAAGTCATCTACCTTTTTCAGGTTTTGGAGGGGACGTAGGTCTTTTTTAGCTATGGGCCCCCACGAAAAATGGTTTGTTATAACAATTGCACCTCACTTTATTTGTAGCAAAGTTAAGAAATATTATTTTTATACATTTTGGGCGTTAAATATGCGCCAACATGCGCCAAACCAATTCTATTTTTCAATAATTTTCTTCCATAAAATAAAATGATAAAATATTAAGGAACTAACGTCTACCTATATATACCAGCCAATAAGGTTAAGCCTTAATTAGAGTCAATTGTGTAGATAAAAAAACATTTATAAAAGATTGTAAAAAAAAACATTTACCGCTTTAAAATATGCAAAAAAGAATTGATATAGGCAGAAATTGAATTTGCCTAAAAATATAATAATAATTTTACTTTACACATCGGAATTATAGATGTTTATTTCTGTGATATTGCAAGTGAAGGTTGTAGGCCTACATGATTTTTCTGAAATCAATCATCTCGTTATGTGGAAGGACGAAATGTTCTGTCATTCCCCTAGATTATTAAATTCCGCATAAATCTTTGCCCTTTGAAAGTAGTTTTTGCTAAATAATGACCTATATTTTAGTTCCGTAATTGTATCAATTCGAGATTTATAGATATTTACATATTATGAGGCACTCTACATTGGTCTAATTGTGTTGTTAACTATTGACAGTTCGAGAGATCCAAATCCAAATTTTAGACGCTTGATGTTGATCACATGATTCGGACATTATTTCCTTTTTTTCGTGAATAAAGATGTCCTCGGCATCTTTTCAAAACAGACTCGATGATATCCAGAAAAGGCTAGAAAAAGAGAATATACTTCACGACAGCGACAGAAGGGGTAGGGAGGGTAGTACCCCTAACCATGGACCTAGACGACCACGCAATTGTAAGTGTTTTGGCGATGAAATTGTCGATATAAAATGGGGAAATCCCACTTTTTGCCCTGTTTTGATTTCTATTTTAGTCCTTATTCCCAATTTTCTCTGCTTCTTATTTATTTGATTTCCATTTGCATGATATTTGGATAAATCAAATAAGGTAAGTCTATTACAAAAGAAGAATTGTGAGGGAAACTTATACCTTGGAATGAAATTTTTTGGTTAACAGATGAGATAGGACGTAGGCCTGCCTACTGAAATAGATGGTTAAATTCCCCGTGGGTTAGCCTGAATTGGAGGGAGGGGTAGGCTCTTCTTTTGTTCATGCACATTTCTTATTTGGTACTTCTGTAGACCTTTTCAAGTTTTTTCCCGAAGAATAAGTTCAAGTTTATATTAATTTTATTATAAGAAAACAGTCATCATCTATGATTTAGCCAAAACTAGAATAATGTGTTGCATTAATTAGATGTTAGGAGGGATGGACATGTAACAAGGTTGATTATCAATGTCATCTGGTGTAGGGTAAAATAATTAATTATCATCACTAGGATTTTAAGATTTTGATTATCCATCATCAAACTTTTGTATCAATTGAATACATGATTACATTTACTCCCGTGTAGGCCTACCTGTCATCAGGTCAGTCATATTCAAAGTTTCCATTCAGCATATTTACCCACATTTAAAGTAAAATAACCAGTCAAATCAATATAATTATATTACTCTACCATACTTCAATAAAAGAAAAATATCCCATGTAATACTTTTGACATTTTTTTATTTTGTGTAAGAATATTTCTGAGTTGAAATAATTCGATTAAGTCGATTATCTACATCTCAATCTCCCTTAATCTTGTGTCCTTTTCATTAAGATCTTTCTATTGTAATTGATATTAACCCAGATTTGCTTTGCCCACAAAGTTAAGTTAAATATGATAGCTACCGGTACCAGGCGTATAATGTACACCTTTAAAAAAATGGATCAATTTCATTTTTCTTTTCAGTTACCACAAACCCCAGTGATTCAGTACGATCTAGTTCAGCACCTTCACCTAGTCGTCCTAGAGATTTCACACTACCTACTAATGTTTTAGATGGTCCTAGTCGTAAACGCACATTACATTTAGAACCAGGAACTGGAAGAACCAGACATGGTGAAGGTTCTAGATCCTATTCCAGACATCATGATAGGTAAGATTGAGATAGGCTCAAAATAGGCTGGAAAATGTAAAGAGGTTTTGAGTTTTACACCCAACCTTTCTGCACCTAATTGGGCTATGGTAATTTTGCCAGAGCAGCAGCATTAAAATACTCTTTTTCGCCTTTACACTGTCGAGGGATCTTTGATGTGCACCAACTGCAACTCAAAAGGGGCCTCATTTTATTGTTTTGTCCTAACAACTAGACTATATTTCCATGTCTCTATGACTTTATTTCCTAATTCAAAGCTTAACATTCTGAATATTGCAGTGCTGAAATTGATAGAAAATATGAAGAGATTATGAAACAATCAGGAATATTGACAATAGATGGCAAGGTAAGCTAATGATATTCTATTATGGGACTTATCAGCCAATTTTTTTAATTTCATCTTTAGAAGTGTAGATGTAAGACCAGATGAAGAGATGTAGTCATCTAAATATAAAGATAAAGATTTATTAAATATTAATATTATTTTAGAAGCCATAATTACTTTTTCCTTATATGACTTTTCCATAATTCTGGACACACATGGATTTGAAGGCTCAAATATCGATGGTGATCTGTGAACTCTATAACTGATAAGTTTTGCTAAAAAAAATTCCGTTTCTGAGACTAAGGTATGATTGGTCCAAAAAATTGGCCCACCTGTCCCTATTAAATAAAAATTTCTTAATGAAAATGTTAGAATCAGCTCGGTCACATAGATTGTAGATATCTCTATATTCATTCTTAGAAGTGTTATGAAGAGCCACATTTAAGTATTATAGACAAAATTCAGTCTGTGACACCATCCTAAAATTTTGATTTTTTTTTTCCTACAGAAAGTTCAGACTGAAATTAATGACCTAGATAATTTAGGGGAATTAGGTCATGGTACATGTGGTCAAGTGAATAAGATGAGACATAGACATACTAAACACATTATGGCAGTCAAGGTGAGCTATGTTAACTTTTAATATTCATCGAGAATTATATTTAGCAATGAAGTCCTTTTATGATGCTGGCAAATGTCTAAAAATCAGTACATGTTTGGAAATGGATTAACTTTCCAATAATGATTATGGATTTAATTTATTATTATAGCAAATGAGAAGATCAGGTAATCAAGAAGAAAATAAGAGAATAATAATGGATTTAGATGTTGTATTGAAATCTCATGATTGTCCTTATATCGTACAGTGTATAGGTACCTTTATTACAAATGTAAGTATACTTATTTTCTGTCCTGTACCATACCACGTCTTAGTCTATAGTTAATATTGTCATTAGTCTTTTGTTTGATCTCCTTCAGCACAGCCAAGTAAAGTCATTTCAAAATTTCCAAGAGCTAAACTGTCCTTTTTTTTTTATTCAATTTTAAGGTTACAGGAGCTGTGGTGCCTCAGTGAGTTAGATACTTGCTTGCTAACCTGAAGGTCCAGGGTTAAATCAACATTTTTAAACCCAGATTAGAGGGGCTGACTTGATGCTAGGCTGTTTGTATTCCACAATGAACCTCAGGCCCTGTGCATGTTACAGATCCCTTGACAGTTGGAAATAGAAAGAGCAGTTTTATGCCACTTTCCTGTGCAAGATTTCCCTTATTGCACTCTGCATGACCTTGTCCGCCTTCATAAGCCCATTAAGGTGCAGAAAAGTAGGACGTTGAACTCCATTTATTTCATTTCATTATGGTTGCACAAAGTTTCCATTCCTCAACCAATGTTAACGTGATTCAGTTCAGTCAAATTTGGATTTACAATTTCATCTTTTCAATGTTTTATAGAGTGAAGTATGGATATGTATGGAAATAATGGCTACATGTTATGATAAACTATTGAAAAGATCAGGTCAACCTATTCCAGAGTGTATATTAGGAAAAACTGCTATTGCTGTAAGTATTGGCCCTTTTTTATTGGTATGAATTTGAATAACCTCCATCATCCAGTCCCTTTTTGTCAATGCACAGCTCCGACGAAAGATGGACTGGAACAGTTGATTAAAATCTTTGTAATTGACTTGAGTCTACTGTGGCTATTGTATCTAATCAAATCTTGTTTAGGTGCGAGGCAACATGATTAAAAGTAATTCATTGATTATAACATCTCTTCAGATTTTAACTCTTTGCTGGAGGAATTAGTTAATTTAACCTCCCTGGACAGAAATGTCTCTGTGGGGATTGCTATTTTGATCTGTAGTTATCTCCCTTGATGGAACTTTAAATCTTTATTACACAGTTTTGGCTGTAAGTCTGAGATTTTTTTTGAAAGAGAGGTTTAGTATTCAGTTTGTCTACGCCTTCTGATTTCAGGTTGTTAAAGCATTGAATTATTTAAAAGATTCTCATGGGGTGATACATAGAGGTATGTTGTGCTTAAATCAAATCATTAACTTATCAAATATTAAGGACTTTTATCTCTATTGCAAGATGTCTGATATTGTGGCCCTTGAGAGGTATGGATGCCCTTAAAGCCTTTAGATCTATCACAAGGTTGATTCAACAGCTTTTTTTGAAATTTTATTGATAAAAATTCATTGTTAAATTGAAATTTTATGATTTTAGTCACATGTTATCCATGTATTTCAGACGTCAAACCTTCCAATATCCTACTGGATGAAAAAGGAACAGTTAAATTATGTGATTTTGGTATTAGTGGAAGATTAGTTGATTCTAAAGCTAAGACTAGAAGTGCAGGGTGTGCAGCTTATATGGCAGTAAGTAACTTCTAAATCAATCACTGGATGTTAGAAAATAAAACAAACAAAAAACTAAGTAAATGTTGATTTCAGTTAACCAAAAGGGATACTTTTATCATTTCATGTGATTTCTGCATTCGTCCATGTTCTTTAAGACTAAGAAATTAGAACAGATGGATTAATTACTAGGTTATGACCATATTTGACTTATCAATTTGACTTATCTATTCATACAAAGAAATAACAAATTCTGGTTAAATTTGATAACGAACCTTTCTTGATAAATGTGGGTTCAAGTATATTGACAATTGCAGGAGTTTTTTGTTTGTATGTGAATTTTGAACCCAACCCTCTCAGTTTTCTGATTCTAATGATGATGATAATTGCTATATTTACAGCCTGAACGTATTGACCCTCCTGATCCTACTAAACCAGATTATGATATTAGAGCTGATGTTTGGAGTCTAGGTATATCTCTAGTAAGTATTGTATATTCTTGATTTTAGTCATTATTATTTTCTAATTGATTTTTATATAAAATCAGAAGGTTTAGTTTTGCTTATTTCGATTTCATGTCCGTATTAATTTCCAATTGACTGTTATAATGTTTTGAATTGTTGTTTTCCCTATTATGCAAATCAATGGAAATGACTTAAATACCCTATATTTATTACATTAGCTTCCATTATGTTATGATCATTAAGTGATAGTGATTATAAAAGTGATAGAAACTATTATTATTTAAAGTATTCTTACCCACCATTATCTAATTATTATTTTCAGGTTGAATTAGCTACTGGTGAATTTCCATATCGAGATTGTAAAACTGATTTTGAAGTTTTAACCAAGGTTTTAGAAGAAGAACCACCAGTTTTACCACAAAATGAAGGGTTTTCTCAAGAATTTCAATCTTTTGTTAAAGAATGGTATGTTTTTATCATCGTTTTATGCTTCAATTAATGAATTTTAAAATCTCTTGTTCATGGTAATTTGAATTGATTGAATTCTGTAGTGTATAACTGAACATTGTCTTATTAGCCATGTTATCAAAAATTGAGTACATCACTTTATCTTCTTCCTAGATTCTGTTTGAACTCACTAGAAAACTTATTAGATAGTTGTCCAAAAATCTGTTGACTACGAAAACGTGTCATTTTATTGTTTTTTCTTTTCAGTTTGACAAAAGATTACAAGAAAAGACCAAAATATCGTAAATTATTAGTAAGTACAACCAAAAAAATGTTATAAGGAACTCGGATTTGGTCATCCTAATCACCTCTGGTCAATTTAACCCTGTCTGTGATGCAGTCTAGAGGGTCTGACATTGACAAAGTGTTCAGAGATCACAATAAAAATAGGTACCGATTCACCATCTGTTTGACCAATCGTACTTTAGTCTCAGAAACGATATTTTTTTTATAGCTAAGCTAATCAGTAATAGTATTCATAGCTTACTGAAATATGCCATTTCTGTACATTTCTAGTATTTCCGATGACTATTTACTTTTATTCTAGACTCTAATCAACCTCCGCTAATAGCAAACCTGTCCCTTTAGCAGGTTCTATCAATAGATCCCTTCACTATGGGATATCATGAAAAGAGTAAACCAATGCCACAGACTTGACAAGCATTCCCTCATTTCTCATCTCTAGTAGCACCATTGAGAGCAAAAAGTATTGGGAAAAACTCCACTTAGTTTTTAGCAAGATGGTTAGTAGTGTAGCTTTAAAACTTAAATCGTCAATTGAAATATAATTTATTGTTTAGGAACATCCATTTATAAAGAAATATACAGATCAACATGTGAATGTAGCAGCCTGGTATGCTGAGTATTTACAACGGTCAAGTCCAATGAGAGTATCGTGATCCTGGTCTTGATACTATTTTTATTATGGTAGGATGTCTTTGATACTGTCTTATTTCCAATCCATTGTAACATATTCTTTTTTTTCTAACCTGGTTTACTTCTGTCAGTGTTGCAGGAAGGGGCTGACATTCAAAAAGTGGCTTGTCAAATGAACTACAGGCTCTGCTTGTTGAAGATCTTGCAACAGTTGGAAATCGAAAAAGAGTAGGGTTACGCCCCTTTCTTGGCATTGCCTGTCCGCTTTGCCTAACATTTTGTATGATAACTTGGTTATTGTCTTAAAGCAGTCTGTGATACACTATGGTATTTAGTATATTCACTTCCTTTATATTTACTGCTTCAAAGGGATTCTAAGAGTTTACCAAACCTTGATGTGTGTGTACATTAAAGTTTCAAATTGCTCTTTTCCACATTGACTTTAATAAGGCTTGGAAACCTCTTTTGAATTTTATAAACATATTCATCTCAAACCTGAATAATTTTATAATGTAGGATAGTGTTAGTCCTTGAAAGGTGTCATCTCGTACCCATGTCTTGCTCATTATGTTCATACAATCATTATTGCTATCAATATGTTGTATATTTTTCAGAATAAAGATCTGTGGTCTCATCTTGGTTGTATATTAGATATTATGTCCATCATAAAGAAATATCACTATTTATTGTGTTATACCATCAGTTATTATGGTGAATTTAACAGTTTATTTATAATGGTGGACAGACATCAACAAGCACAATATATTTACTATACAAACATTTGAAGCTCATGAGCTGTATTTTGAGCTGAGTTAGGAGTTAGCATTGATTTATGCAGTTAACATCAAAACAAGTTTTTAATTTGTACTTGAGTATGGATTTGTTCTAGCCTTGTGTGGAAAAAGGTGCTGCAGACCTATAAAACCAGACATTCAATGCTGCATACAAAACCTGTGCTGTGAATGAGATTTTGCTTTTTTTTCCTTTTTATCTTTTAAACCACATTTTAAAAGTCTACCTCAATTTACTAAGCCCTGATTTGGTGTGTGCTAAATTTGGAAATGGAGACTAAATTGGAATGTTTTTTAAGTCTGTTAGTGAAGTTTTATCAGCTATAAATGAAACATGAGAAAGGATTAAGTTTTATGTTCATGCATTGTTTGAAATTTCGAAGGAAAAAAATCAGTATAATTGGTCCTGCTTTGATTGTATTAAACATTTTGAGGATATTTTGCCCACAATCTTGCTGTTAACTGATAATGAATTATTGCATTTTGAATTTCAGCATATTGTTGAATTTATTTTGTATATTAAGATATATTCCTGACAATGTATCAAAGTTTGAAACAGGGTTGTTGATTAGTGCTTTGCCAGTCATGTCTGATGTGTGACAAAAATGATAGGCTGTGATAGGACACTTTTTTGTTTGTACCTATAATTGCACACTTTTCCATTTTGACCAATGCAGGGCTTTTGGTTTCGATATTTTTGCAGTTCATGTCTGATTGAATCATTTTGGTGTCTGCAAGTGATTACAACACAAAGGACCTGAGATTTTTGAATACTAAAGCAAGGAAAAGCTTGATTAATGTCCTAGCATCAAGCCTCTGGATTCAAACTTGGTATGAAGTTGACAGTTATTCAACTAGGACAGTAAATGTATGGGGCAAGGTGTTTGCTTTACGAATATTGACTGTGATTAATTATATTATGATATTATTAGATGCTGACCTCTATTATATTATTTAGCATTATGAACCATTGTAACTCTTAAATACTAGTGATAGATGATATCAATTAATATAGGCTGTTTTATCAATCATATCAGTCTTGCTGAGATTGAACTCAGATTTAATAATGGGTGTTTGTCCAAGTTGAGTTAGTAGGCATATTCAAATTAACAGGAGAAAATGTCCAACTGTAATTTTGATTTTTGTAAAAAAAAAAAGTCAAAGGTTATGGTCGTAGAGTAAGTATGTTCTAACATCAAGTTTTTCGATAATTTTTGATGTCATGAAACCTGTCACAATATTGAATTCCTATTTGTCCTATTTGGACAAAAACAAATTACTCACTTTGCTTGGCAAACAGGTTGAATTTTTGGAAGCAAGAAGATTTATAACAAGCTCTGAATGCCTCAATTAAAAGTAATGGAATATTTATTTTAGTTAAATAAACTAGAAATAAAATTAAGAGTGTTTCTCTCTGAAGAAATCTATAATTTATGGCACTTTTTGTCATCATGTGATCCTGACATATTTGTAAAATAATTTTATCATGTAAATATTGATGTATAAATGTGTTGTGGCGCCTAATTTTTATGTCAGAAAAAAATTGTAGATTGTCACTGTATGTCGTTTGTCTAAAATAAATGTTGTAGATTATAAATTATAGATTATTTTTTCCTTTGGCTGTTTGAAATTAACACTCTTCAGTGATGAAGGTTAGAATAATGTCATCCTCTTCACTGATGAAGGTCAGAATAGAGATGCGCTCTTTTGTGATGCCGGTCAGAAAAAGTAACCCATTTCTTAGTGATGCAGGTTAAAAAAGTGACATCCTATGCAATGATACAGGTCAGAATAGTGACATATTCTTCTGTGATGCAGAAGAAAAACACACCTCACTGATGCAGAGAAATATAAATCTATTTTCATAATAAAATTAGTAACAAAGAAACAACATACAGTAATATACAACATTGTGGTATCAAATTGAGCAAATGGTGAAGTCAACAAGACAAATATAAGTAAACAAACTATAAAATTTTCTTGAGAGCATTATTGCCAGAACTACTACTTTCTTGTATAATAAAAAAAATATGAATATTTAAGTAGTTAGCTTAATTAGGTATATGAAAGAAAATCTGATATGTGTGAAATTTATATGAAAAAGTAACTTTTTTTATACATCTACTGAATCCAGGCTCCTATTAATTTTTGTATAGTCATTCTAGTTTGAGTCAGTTCTGGGATATCTGTGGGAGCTGCAGGATACATGTTGGCACAATGAGCAGTTCCTGCAAGTAAATATGTAAAGAGATCATTCAGATTTAACTGCAGATTAAAATATCCTGTGCCAAGCATTTTTAAATGATGTATAGTGTGGTATAGTATTTTTAACATCATTAGCCTCTATCATACAGAATAGTGGTAAACCTGATAAACTTCCTCAATCCTTGTACTTACCATTAATAAAGATAGCAGTACTTCCAGCTGGTAGATTATCTAATTTACCTAAAGCATGCCACTGATCTATAGAACCATTAGGAAATACTATTCTAGAAGCTTTAATATTCTTAGCACCATAGTTTGTATTGGTTCTATTAATACCAGCATTAATTAAATCAGCATTAAAACGATAGCCATAAATATCTTTACATTGTTGTACCCAAAAACTGAAAAAAAGTCAAATATAGGCTATTCATGGTTTATCAGGTGATAGAGCTTATTCCAATCAAGCAATAACAATTTTCATAATTTAAACAATTCATTTCAATTTTATTCCACTTTGGACAACGCAAGTGGTTAAAGCAAGTGATTCTTATTTTATTGTTGATGAACAACACTCCATTTACAAGCACTGAGAACTCTAATTTCAAACTCTTCTTACCTCAAAGGAAATCTCTGACCAAAAGGCTGTTCCACCAGATCAGATGTTTGAAAAAATCCAAATTCTGTACATGTTTGATAGACCCATTGTCGACCTATAGCAGAGAAAAATATATATTTACAATAAACTTCTGATTAATTGAACGTAAAGAGGAATCAATGAGCATAAAGTAAAATGACAAAAGGCAATTGTATCAGTTTTGACAAACCCTACAGCCTATCATGGGGGAGGCCTAAGTTCAATTGCTGGCAGACTTAAAACTCTAGAATTCGACAATTTTAAAAAATTTTAAAAAGATTTCTGAGCAGAGTTTCTTGATGCAGTTCTAACAATCTCTCAATTATTCGTTCATAAACAATCTGCAGGCTTAGTTGCAATTACTAAAAATTTGACTATTCACCATCTTTGCAAATTGCAAAATCATCCTCATTGCACACTGCATATCAAACTCTAGAAAGTCACTGACAATAAAGACAAAACACTTACCTCCTGGAGAATCTGTTTTATTCCAATCAGAAATTCTCATCTCCTCTATCATATTATAATAAAGAAAATCTAAACATTTCTCAGAATAGGTAGATAACATGAGAGAATTGACGTCAGCATAACGTTGTAGAGCAAGACCTCTTGATGTATCAGTCATAATATCACATAATACATCTAATGTAATATTAGCTCCTACACCACCCTGTAAATAAACTCAATAAGTGACAATAGTCAACTGTAGGAACGCTATTATAGGGGTTGGATATTCAGCAACTGCTAGAAATCTGTGATATCTGAGAGAATGTACCAATTGCCTGATTTAAATGACCTTAACACACCAACGACTGAAAAGTCTAAGTTTCTGCAGATGAACATCGGTTTCTAATAATGTTCTTCCTAATTGTACCAGAGTGTTCAAAATCTTCAATTCTTGTAGTGTTCAAGTGATCCAGTGAGATGCTTTGCATTGTCGTCAGAAATTGAAAAATCAGCCTCTCATATGAATATTTAGACAAAACAATAGAACTCAAAGCTCATTAATATGACTGAATCAAACAAGAACAATATTTCATTTACTTCCCTTGAATAAGAACACTTACAAGTGAAAATAATCTAGCAAATAAAATTTTATAATATATATCTATGCAAACTTTGAAAAAGTTCACAACTTATAAATGCTGTATTTATGCTGAAAAATTCACAGAAAGATAGCTTGCCAGGCAAGGTAACATATGCCCACTGGCAGCTGTCAGAAATGATTAAACAGCCTTTAGTGACTACAGGGTTGCACAATATAGCTAATAGAGTGAAACGTCAAGTCAGACACGATATTTCGGTGAAATATTATCCGATCATCGCGAAAATCGATAGGGATCATCTTCATAATGACATTGACATACAAAATAAAAATCAAAAGAATCTGTAAAAAATTGCAGCCTGTAGAGTGAGCACGAGTTGCACAATATAGCTAATAGAGAAAAACGTCAGGTCAGACACGATATTTCGGTGAAAAATTATCCGATCATCACGAAAATCAATAGGGATCATCTTCATAATGACATTGACATACAAAATAAAAATCAAAAGAATCTGTAAAAAATTGCAGCCTGTAGAGTGAGCACGAGTTGCACAATATAGCTAATAGAGAAAAACGTCAGGTCAGACACGATATTTCGGTGAAAAATTATCCGATCATCATGAAAATCGATAGATCATCATGAAAATCAATAGGGATCATCTTCATAATGACATTGACACACAAAATAAAAATCAAAAGAATCTGTAAAAAATTGTAGCCTGTAGAGTGAGCACGAGTTGCACAATATAGCTAATAGAGAAAAACGTCAAGTCAGACACGATATTTCGGTGAAAAATTATCCGATCATCACGAAAATCAATAGGGATCATCTTCATAATGACATTGACACACAAAATAAAAATCAAAAGAATCCATAAAGAACTGTAGCCTGTAGAGTGAGCACGAGCCAAATGTGAACGGACGGACGGACGAACGGACCGACGGGGTGATTACAATATACGCCCATCTTACGTCTGGGCGTATAAAAAGAAGGAATCAAAATAATACCAGTTGGTCCTTGTCCAAACCTCTCGAACTTGATAGAAATTCTCTTAATTTGTTTCTTTCCCTCAAGATCAGATATTGAAAAGTTGCATATTCCATATTGGTTCTGATGAGTATATTATATCAATAAGAAAGCAATAAAGATGAGCTCTCAGTATTCACCTAGTGATGTTATCTCTTACCTCAAAACCTCTATTATCTTTATTGTATTGAACTACTTCTTCAAAATTATTAGCTAAATTAGAGAAGAGATTAGCTATATCTAGTTTATTTTCTATATCTATATCATCACATAATCTAAAATAATAAAAACAAGAAATAAATAAAATCCATTAAATCTTATTAAAGGAAAACCTGAGAGTCTAAGCTATCAGGCAATTATTAACATATAGTTAAATTCTGCAGGAACCACATATGTCTGATTGAAAATTGGTACGGTGCAAATTGATGCTATCGGTGTCCCCAAAACACATAAAAAATCTACAATCCCTTGATTATTTTTTTAATGACACAATGTCTATTGAATTGCAGACACATCAGGTCTGGCTTTGATTTCATCTTGAGAAATGCAATTAATATTGCTGAAAACAAAATTTTGAAATTTAACATTGTAGAAAAATGGCCTAAAACTGGAGACTCAAAATAAAAATTATGGAAAATAACTTATATCTCACTTGAACATTTTCTTAAGCTGACCTCTACCATCCTCTGTTTGTAGAAGTTTTTCAACTGCTGTAGTAGCTTCTTCAATACCTTCATTACAACCACTACCTGTTGTAGCTAGAGAAGCCTGAGTCACATCCAAATATTCTACAAAATCAGAAAGCAAAATATAAAACATTCCAAATGATCCCTTTATACTTTATACTATGGTTACTTTAAATTTGACCAAGCTTTAAAAAATTCCAGATGACAGTCTTTAACCTACTAGCTAAATGTTATAGACTTTCCTGGATTTGCAGCTTTATTACCTGCTGGGCTATTTAGTTTGAGAACTCAGTAATATCAAGACATAATCTGACATTGTGTAAAGTAACTTAAAGATGGGTTTCCTTATTTTTAAGTGTCAAATTAAGCAAAGTATTTTCTAATAAATCATGTATTAATCAAATCATGTTCTTTTTGCATATAATTAGGAGTTCTAGCCAATCATAAATTCCATGTACGTACTTTCTGGATAAACAAAATAAAAAAGACTTTTTGACCTTTCTTGATCAGTCACTCATTGAAATTCTGCTGGTACTTTTCTTCTTACTTAGCTAATTTCGAATTAGTTATTGTCAAAATGGTATTTTTCCAAGTCATTTGAACACTTCTACTTTCTATTCATATAAGTACTAGCATTTTCATTTTCATTAATGAAAATAAGGGAACCCATCTTTAAAACCTACCTTTAAAATCAATAACAGCTAATAAAGGTGCACTAGTAGCTACAGCACCATCAATAAGATGTGGGTATTTTAATCTTAACCAGGCTGATAGTGAACCTAATATAAACAATTAAATTTAAATATTCAAACCTCTATTCCAGTAACTATTACTTATTTTACAAAATGGTAGATATTACATGAGTTTTAGTCTGATAAGAAATAAGAAAAGACGTCAGAAAGAATATGTAGTCAATTTGTTTAAACAAGAATAATCAGATGAAATATCCATTAAAGTGTTTGTGAATAAATGTGCACAAGAGAGGGTTTTAGCATATTTTTTAGCAGAATTTCATTGGGTTTTCTTCCATATCAAAACATTGTATTACTAATATTCTTTGTTTTGGTAATTTTGTAGCATCTTATTTTCAATAAGATTTTTATATATAAAAGTTATACTAGTGGCTCACATAAAACTCTGTTGTAAACTACCTCAAGCTTATAATCTAAAAGTAAAACAAACCTGAGTAAGATCCACCAAAAGAGATCCATTTATTGTCTTGAAGTTCAAATTTATATTTACAATACTGAATAAAATAAGCACTATCAGCTAGAGCCTGCTCACTGCTTAAATACTGTAGATTTTCTGTACTCATATCACTGTAATAGAAATACATAGAGTTAGGTCTATAGGCTGATGATGAAAGGTGAACAGACTGTTAAATTGTTCACATACGGATATATTGTGAACAGATTGATGAATAGTAAACAGGCTAAAGGATGGCGAACAGACTGATGAATGGTGGACAGACTGATGAATGGTGGACAGACTGATGAATGGTGGACAGACTGACAAATGGTGAACAGGCTGATGAATTTCAATGAATGGTTAACAGACTAATGAATTTCAATGAACGTTGAATAGACTGATGAATGTTGAACAGAATAATAAATGGAGAAAAGAACTGATGAATGGTGAAATGGTAAACAGACTGATAAATGGTAAACAGACTGATAAATGATGAACAGACTGATAAATGATGAACAGACTAAATAAATGGTGAACAGACTGATAAATGATGAACAGACTAAATAAATGGTGCACAGACTGATAAATGATGAACAGACTAAATAAATGGTGCACAGACTGATAAATGATGAACAGACTAAATAAATGGTGCACAGACTATATATATAGTTATATATGAAAGTCATCTTTAATAAAAAAGGTAGATGATTTTCATCAAAATCTATATATTTAGTAGACACCTATTAGAAACAGATATCAGAGCTAATATTGAAAAGAAACTTAAGTCACTTACGGTGTGGGATGAGACTTTCCATAATATCTATGTTCTATAGAAAACAACATGGCATTATAAGCTTGAGCATAATCAATCCAAGCTCCATCAACCATCCATGTTGGTCCTAGTGGTCCTTCCCCTCCCAACATTAAAAATACTGGTCCACCTTTTCTATAGTACTGATCATTAACATAATATTTCTACAATACAAAAGTTTTAAAAACTTTAAATATTTGTAGCCTAGCGGTGCTTTAACTTTGTATAAACTTAGAGAATGGTGCTTGAATTAGGTGTTTAGTTTGCAAATGAATATAGGTATCTGGAACAAACTTTTAATTTCAATTCAGGAGGCCTACCACAATATACAAACCTGTTGCCATGTTTTGGTGTTGGCATCATTGAAATGATCCTGTCTTTGTGTCACCCACATTTCAGAAGGCATGTTTTTGGGTGTCTTCTCTGTGACTGGAGGGTTACCAAGGAATCCATCTCTAGGTCGACCCCTGAAAAATCTTGGTTCCCTTGAAAAACAAATTACTACTAAGGTTAGCACCAAAAAGGTGAATATATTCGATGTCGTTGCCATCTCTACAACAAAAAGTCACGTTTGAAAGATAATAACAACACCGCCTGTCATATGATCGTCACGTGATAGAAATCCCAGCATGTGATAAAATAGAATATTATGACGTAAAAAGTATACCCCTTGATACTATTTTTAGCACTAAACTTAAAGGAAGATGTCTGCAATGATGTGCTTCAAATGAATATTGAGTTATCATCAAGCAAAATACTTAAAAAACTATTGGAACACAGTACATGGTATAATATTCCAGAGTTTTATTGTAAACAATAACGTTTCAATAAATTGCAATGTCATCATCGTACATAATAATATTATTAATATTGGTTTAGCCTGCATCATGAAATAATTGTTTATGTGACAAGGATCAAAAGAAAAAAATTGATAACTTCAAGCTTCATGTATTCCCTTTATTAAAGATTTACACCTGAGCAAGTATCTCAAAATATTTTGGCAAGAGATTTTAAATATTATATTATAGGCCCCTAAACATAGTGATTTATTATGCACACATAGGCTACGGTTAGAGTTGTCGGGGGATTATAAAATGTAAAATATAGCTTATCAACTTCACTGAAGAGGTGTATAAAGGTGGACTCAGGTCGACTGGCGATTTAAACCATCTCATCATATTAAACAGACAAGTGCGACATTTTTTTTTTCTTTTGACCTATCATACTTTAGTCTCAGAAACGAGATTTCTTTTAGCCAAGTCAATCAGTATAATAGCGATCACAGCTCACCATGGAAATTTGAGCCTTCAAATCCACGTGTGTCTAGAATTATCCGCGTTTGAATGTTAAAATGAAGATTCGTCAATTTAAGATACTCTGTGATATGTAGAAAAGATATATATAGAAATAGTGAGTACAATTCCTAGTTTAAAGTATTTTAAAAGGAATTATGCGATTTTCGTACATTTCTAGCAGCCTACTTCTGTAGGCTATTTACATATTCAAGACAAAAATCAACCACCCAAAAAGGAGCATCTGTCCCTTTAATGTGGGCTCAAGTCGATTTAGACTTTCTCATCATATCAAGGTGGGATCAGGTCGACTGGCGATTCAAACTATCTCATCATATCAAGGTGGGATCAGGTCGTCTGGCGATTCAAACCATCTCATCATATCAAGGTGGGATAAGGTCGACTGGCGATTCAAACTATCTCATCATATCAAGGTGGGATAAGGTTGACTGGCGATTCAAACCATCTCATCATATCAAGGTGGGATCAGGTCGACTGGCGATTCAAACTATCTCATCATATCAAGGTGGGATCGGGTCGTCTGGCGATTCAAACCATCTCATCATATCAAGGTGGGATAAGGTCGTCTGGCGATTCAAACTATCTCATCATATCAAGGTGGGATAAGGTTGACTGGCGATTCAAACCATCTCATCATATCAAGGTGGGATCAGGTCGTCTGGCGATTCAAACTATCTCATCATATCAAGCAGGGATCAGGTCGTCTGGCAATTCAAACCATCTCATCATATCAAGGTGGGATCAGGTCGACTGGCCATTCAAACTACCAAGGCGGGCTCAGGTCGACTAGCCATTCAAACTATCTCATCATATCAAGGCGGGCTCAAGTCGACTGGCCATTCAAACTATCTCATCATATCAAGGTGGGCTCAGGTCGACTGGCGATTCAAACTATCTCATCATATCAAGCTGGGCTCAGGTCGACTGGTCATTCAAACCATCTCATCATATCAAGGTGGGCTCAGATCGACTGGTCATTCAAACCATCTCATCATATCAAGGTGGGCTCGGGTCAACTGGTCATTCAAACCATCTCATCATTTCAAGCTGGGATGAAGTCGACTGACGATTCAAACCATCTCATCATATCAAGGTGGGCTCAAGTCGACTGGCGATTCAACCATCTCATTATATCAAGGTGGGATCAAATCAACTGGCGATTCAACCATCTCATTATGTCAAGGTGGGATCAGGTCGACTGACGATTCAGACCATCTCTTCATATCAAGGTGGGATGAAGTCGACTGACGATTCAAACCATCTTATCATATCAAGGTGGGATCAAGTCGACTGGCGATTCAAACCATCTCATTATATCAAGGTGGGATCAGGTCGACTGGCGATTCAAACTATCTCATCATATCAAGGTGGGATCAGGTCGACTGACGATTCAAACCATCTCATTATATCAAGGTGGGATCAAGTCGACTGGCGATTCAAACCATTTCATCATATCAAGGTGGGCTCAGAAACCATCTCATCATATCAAGGTGGGCTCAATCCGATTGGCGATTCAAACTATCTCACCATATTAAGCTGGGATCAAGTTGACCGGCGATTCAAACTATCTCATCATATCAAGCTGGGATCAAGTTGACTTGCGATTCAAACTATTTTATCATATCAAGCTGGGATCAAGTCGATTCAAACTTTCTCCTTATATCAAGGTGGGCTCAGCAGCTGCATAATATGCCCAGTAGGTCTCGAATCTTAAGATCATAGCTGCGTGATATACAGATTTGGTCTCGATATCATTTTCAACGAAGATAGTATTAAGATCAGTAAATCTGTCTTCAAAACACTTGAATTGGCAAATATTTACAGCTAAGCTAATTTAATCAATGCCCACGTAATATGAGGGGAAATGATTTAAACAATAATTCAAATCATTGTTTATTATTTGTCATAGTGAAAGATTTAAACTTTGCTGACGTAGAATAATAAAGTAAAGATCACTCATCAAATATTGTTTTAAATAAAGTCATCTCACATACCACTTTTTATCTCTCTAACCTAATTAAATACCTATCCATTACACTCAAACACGAATCGACCAAGGTTGTTCCTCTGACACTTTTTCTCCTGTAGTCCACCCCGTTCTAAGAGTGGTCAGGAACTAAGCGATCCTATCTAAGCTTTTAAATGTGCAATTACTATACACCAGGTTTTCTTAAGTAAATAATCTAAAGTGGCACTTCCATTGTTTGGAATTGCTGAAGCGCCACGGATCCCAGCGAAGCTGAGAATCCTTGCTCTATTCTAACTCTATTAATCGGAACACAATCCTCGTTCCGGTAAACTCTAATCAATCTTTCGGATCACGGCCGTGCAAATCTAAAAGATGTAGAACCTGCGAGCATATTTTAACAACCAATTCTTTCTCTAATAAGCATAACGGTAAACAATTCCCTATTAACGGTGAGCTTTCTTGTACCAGCACAAATATCATTGACCTAATTTCATGCCAAGCATCCCGAATTATCAAAAGATACTACACAGAGTTACAAAATAAATTTCCCACTATTTTTTACAAAAAATTAGGTTATTCAAGAAATAAAAATCTACAGGATATAGTTGTTCGTCGTCGACTTGACCCCACCGATGATGTAGAGTGATCTAACAGAATTAAATATTTTCATTTTATTAACTGTCTTTGTACTTTATAGTATATAATAGTCTAAAACAATTTACTTTCTATACCTGCAGCCATTAATCGCTTTTCTCCATTATTCCAGAAAATATGAAGCAGTCAGAGTTTTTATGATTCTGTATTTTCCACAGACAATTGTCCCAATAATGTTATTTCCGTAAATGTAGATTATAAGTATTATGAATTTCTTTATTAGGTCCAAGAAGATTTATATGATAACCGTTATGATCTTCTTTGATTTAGTTCATTGCATATTAGCATCACAATTATTGTAAACATAACTTTAACCCTGTGCCAGTGCCTTATATTGAATAGTAACTTGTTACTCGTCAGTAACTCTGAATTGAAATAATATAAATTAATATTACGTTATTATGTGTGAATTCATTTAGACCTATTTCAAGAAGAGTTCAATATGCAGATAGTTTGTATTTAAAAGTCGACGTATTGTCCTGAACATATTGAATCCTATTATTTCCCTTTGTTTGCAGTCATTAAATGTGCAATATTGATGTTTGATCACCGTGGTAATTCCACACTTGTTTTAATAAAAATATTAATATAGTATTAATAATTGGGTTAATATGGGTCTATATATATGAGTGGCAAACCGACAGATGGGTTGGAGAGAGACCGTTCGAGTAGGATATATGATGTTAAAATAATTGAAGTGTCTTTTTAATATATTGATGTGTTGTATTTTAATAATGGTAAATTGAAATGGAAAGGAACATTGAGGTCATTATAGTGGTTTTTCATGTATAACAAGAAATGCCGGTCGAAACTTCTTCATAGAAAATTTGGACGCAATAGATACGATAGTTTTGATCAGATTCTGTTACAAACAATCCTGCGATCAGTAAGAAAAAGGTTTCGAATCTTTATGGTCTTATCTACCGAACGATCTAATGTTTAAAATCATTGCGGTCATTTTCAATGTGACATAGCTGACAAACGGCCTTCCGTGAAATGTCTGCTATCGCTCAGCAACATATTCAGTTACGAAAACTGCCGAGAATTGCCGAATGTATAATTGCGACGTGACAGCGTTTTTTAAAAATGTTTTTGAATAGATAATAACGTATAACATGGCCTAAGATAATACGTACAATTGAGAGATGAACTATATCAAAGATAACTTAATTGAAGCTTTTTAGTTCATTAATGATCATGCGGTAAATGAAGGGAAATGGTTTCCTTACAGGATTTCCTGTGGTAGATATCAGTCAACGATAGTGAATAATAGTTAGTTACAAGTCTATTAATTGTGATATTTTACACGTAATATTATGAATGACCGATTTGGCTGTCCAGTCATTCACGACCACAAATGTTTGTAATGGAGTGTTACACCCACACCTTATATTTAAATGGGCATTCAGACAGAACCAGGTGGCAATGAGGACATGTATGCCAGGATAAAATAATCTTACTTTGCGTTACTGTAGCGTCTATTCGTTCGAAAGGGAAAATACACCGAGGCCCCCATTTGTGCTACATGCTGTCCTTGCAAGTTAAAGATCCCTCGACAGTTGAATCATAAATCCTAGTCAAATTAGTCAATCCTTACAAATGGGCCCAGAGAAAGGGTTCAATTTAAGCGGTATCGCATCGCAGTTTGCGAGTCAAAATTACCCTTTTCGCGTCCCAATATTCCGATCAAATTTATCATGACGATCAAAATGTGTATTTTTACTCAGATTTCTTTGCCAAATCTAGAAATATACTGCAACCTTTGGCGGTCTCTATAATCTGGAGAAACTAACGCCATGGGTAAGATCGATCAAAGTCTACAACTGGAACATTTTGATTTGCGACCGAATTTTTATGAAATGCGAAAAAAATTAACTTGATGAGCCAAAACTGATATTTGGTGTGATAAACTGTAAATCAAATTTTCAATCTAATCTGAAACCTGGTCAAGGTATTAAGAAAGCCAGAATAAGTTTCCTATACCACCATAGAATATTTAAGAAATATGACCAAAAAGCGTTATCTCTTCGTACGCTTAGGTAATAGACCTATAACGTTTTTTAATTGTTCTCACCAAATATAGCTACCGTTGGCAATTAATTTCACCTGTTCTATTTAAAAATGCAGAAATTCCACAAACACATAGTGATTTTACTATGCCCTGAGCAAGAAAAATTAAGAATCTCTCTTAAGGCGAAAAAACAAATCATACATTTCTAGCTATTTTCAACAAGAAAAAATTGTTCTCTGATATTTTCATTGATGTTTCAGACTGCTTTCTCAAAAACAAAACAACAAACAAGTCATTTAATTTTTTGTTTTCTTTTTGCATATTGAAATTTCTGGACGGGATGATTGTCAGTGAAGGACTGTTTTATGTTACCACAGTGCAAATGAATAAAGTTAATGATATCATATCTATGGAGGTGACGATGACGGAACTCAACTCTTTAAAAAGATAATGATAAAAATAGCTATTTCATCGAATACTTATAATTTATGGTAACGAGATATCCAAGATGATAGAGTGATAAAGCTTATCCGGTTCTTTTCTTATAAAACCCATGGCTATTTGTATTAGTACTAAGACCACTGAGAAGAGAAGATTGTACCAGCATCTCTCATTGCAAGGTTAGTTTTAAAAATTTTAAAAATCTGTACAGTCTGTTCCAGTGGCGGATCCAGGTTTTTTCTTACAGAAATGGATCCATTACTCGGAGAGATTGATCTAACAGAGGGGTTTTTCAAACTGGGGGTAATTAGCCTTATAGGGGTATTCCATCAAATTTTTTGAGGATAATGACGTGCTGTAGTCTAGCAAAAAAGGATTGGTCAATTATAATTTAAGTTGTTCTATTCAGTAAGGTTTTATTCACCGACATGAAAAAGATGGCAAGGAACACATCTGAGAAATTACGAAATAAGATTTATCCACAAGGGGTAGAGGGGTAATGCATTCAAGTATTCTGATATAGCTAAAAGAAAGAAAAAGGTTGAAAACCCCTTGTTCAATATTACTGACGCCTGCTGATCTCTCAAATCGACAACTGAATTAATCAAAGAATCAATCATCTATATTTTCACGTGTGAAGTCATATATCTGAATCTAAGGAATATTTCCCAGGTTCATGAAAATCATATGGTGTCAGCCAAATGATTGCATTTGTCCCACCTTTCCCGTGATAAATATTTAAAGATACGTGAACACAGGATGATGCATTTGTATAGGGGAAGTTTTTATTTGATTATAATTATTTTGTTATTTTCAACAAAAAAAAAAGAAAATTCAAATTGTCTTATCTTTGTACATGTATTGTCAAATTTCAGAATTAAAAGAATCAACATGTTTAAATTGGCTTGTGCTGTATTGGTTTCCCTGTGTATAATAGATGTTGTAACAGGACATGCTCGATTTATTGAGCCACCATCTAGAGCGTCCATGTGGAGATATGGTTTTAATACACCACCTGATTATAATGATAATGAAGGTTTCTGTGGGGGTAGAGAGGTAATATTTGATAACACTATACAGTTTGATATCCTCTGTGTCTCAGAATCCGATCTTTTTAGATGTTAGTATTGAGCTTGTCCAGGTGAAATTTAAATCCAAGTTTGTGCTGATGCATACCACATTTCATGTCGGCATTTTTAAGGTATATTGATATTTACCCTGTGCCAGATATATGATATGATATATGATATGATAATTATGATATGATATGGTTTGCTAATATCATGCTCAAATTAACTGAAGTTGACTGATTCTTATAAATCTACGTCGTTCTAAATCTAGCCATTGAGATATAACTGGGAACCTTTGGTAATTTATCATAACTGGTTGAAAATATATCATTTTGTTATCTTATTTCCAGCGTCTGATAAGAAATGGAGGAAGATGTGGAATTTGTGGTGACCCCTATGATGCCAATGTTAAGCCTCATGAAGTGGGTGGAAAATATGCTACAGGACAAATCGTCAAGAATTACCGAGCTGGACAGACTTTTACTGCTAAAATTGAGGTCACGGCCAATCATAAGGGTTATTTTGAATTTAGACTTTGTGCTAACAATGACGTAACCAGGGAAGTTACTCAAGAGTGTTTAAACAGAAATATTTTAACCTTGGCTAATGGTTCCGGAACTAAGTATTTTGTTGATTCTTCAAATGGAATTAAACAAGTCCAATTATTTTTACCTGCGACCATAGTGTGCTCACACTGTGTTTTACAATGGAGGTACCGCAGTGGTAAGTTTACGCATTACATCATTTTGTTGATTATTATGAGTTTTATACATGCATGAAATGACTATTATCTATACTGTATATTTTTGACAGTTGATTTAGTTACTCCAAGTAACTTTTTAAAATGTAAATTCGACGTCTGGTTGATCTGTAATTGAATAAATGCTAAACATTGAAATGACGAGAGTATCAAATGAATTAACTTTTCTGCCACTTTCTGATATATAGTAACATTATTCCATAATACATCGGATGTTGTAAAGCTCGGATCGGATGTTTGTGAAGAGCAAAACGTATATCAGCAACGGTTCCAGCAAGTAATAGCAAAAATCTGATTATTGTATTTGATTTCTGTTACAGGAAACAGCTGGGGAACAGATCCTGACGGCACATCATGTATTGGGTGTGGACCTCAAGAGGAATATTATGCTTGCTCTGATATATCCATTGATGGAACGAACCGACCACTCGCACCAACACTACCCATCAAAACAACACAGATAAGGCTTAGACCAACAAATCCACCACAGAGACCCACAAAACCAATCAATAGACCTGCAGGAAAACATGGCAAGTGTTATGCTATTGGAAAATCAGATGAATCCTTCAATACTTGGTGTTCAGATAACTGTGCTCGTGGTAATTGTCCAGATACTCTTTGTAAATGTGAATCATCAGGACCATTACCAGTTCCCAATACGAAGTATTGTTTGTCATATGGAACATTTAAAAGTGGTGCGAATGATGTTTGGTGTAAAACTAATTGTCAACTTGGTCATTGTCCCTCGACTCATTGCAAATGTTAAGAATGAATTATTTTGTTGTTTATTATTTTAAAATAAAATTATTTCCTACAAACCACAAATATTTTGACTTGGCTTATAAGATGATCATTGTTTGATGTAATAATTGTGACTGACCTTATAGCGTCAGTCTAATTGAACTCAATTTCTGCTCGTATTGACTTTATTATTGAACAGTAGCCATTAGTACAACCATACAAACGCATCTAAGTATATGCGTAATATCATGGAAGTCTTTAGTTCAGACGTACAGTCTTTTTCACTACCAACTTCATTGAAGATAGATAACAGATCTATAACTTTCTCATATGATTGAATTAGTTTTCCTGCTTCTTTTAAATTCATAACTATACTCCACCTCTATTTGTATAACCAGTGGGACAGTCTGATATTTATCGGGCAAATTCCGCTATTCATTAACCTTAGTTACAATGATCAATTCACCCCTCCCCCCCCCCCCCCCCCTCAATGTTCCTTGAGCAAAAGTATATGACGTTTATTATGTTCTGAGCAAGTACGACGTTTATCATGTTCCTTAAGCAACAATATACGACCAATATAATGTTCTTTTAGCAACAGTCAACGTTGTTTATAATGTTCCTTTTGTAACAGTGTACATCGCTTTTCCTGGTCCTTTAGGATCATGTTTCTTTAGAAGCAGTGAGCCACGATTATCACTTTAACATAACTAATATAAAAAATATAAAAATCACATTTCATCAAACCAGTCTACCATATACATGTACCGGTAGTTTTTAAAGTTATATCATCAATTAAAGTGGTGAATACAATCTTAATCAGTTTTACCAGTATAATGTGGTGCATATAAAGACTATCAAATCGATCATTTGTCTCAGTATTAAACTGCAATGGAGCAGAAAGGAGTGTTAATAGCTATCCTGTATCATGCAAGATAAAAGGAATGTAACGTCGCATATTTCAACAAATCCTCCAAATCACATTTTAAGCCATTTCTAAAACTGTAAAAGTAATTTGAAAGCTGAGTTGAAATATTACAGGCTTTTTAAAAATTCGACTTATTAAGTCGAGGTAAAGATTCAAAATGGTTGTGAACTGCGTTCGTGTGTGATATTTCCATGTAAGAACTACGTAGTTCCGTCTGGACGCATATATCACCCATTTTCCCTTGACCTCATCGCCAACATTAACAATTAGACATGAGAATCTGGAAACAAATTTCTTCATTTCGACAGCCAACATTCACTTTAATTACGACGTTTCGACGATGATACTCTTGCCCTTCAAGAAACTAAATGATCTTGACTCAACAAAGATGTAAAGTATTTGTCATACAGCTGAACAAGAAATAAGTCATCAAATTGGTCTCAATGAAATTAAGTTAATGGGTGAAACTAGTTTACGAGTTTTTAATACAAGGAGTGCTCTATATTTTAATAATGATATAAAAGTACACTGCCACATTTGACCAAGTAGCAAATAAGACTAAATTTCACCGAGGTATAATGCTTTATTTTATTCCAAATAGTGTTCTTTGTTAGTCAAATATTAGATCTGAAACATACTGATTCAGAATCCGAAAAAGTCAAATTTTGAATAATATATTATGAGCATACTATGCCTTAATCCTGTATCCTTCATACATTCATATTTGATGCAGGTCGACATTGATACTGAAAGTAGGGGATGACACAGAAAGGAATTCAGTCATCCGAATGAGGTAATGAACTGAAGTAAGTGTGCTACACGCTGTAGGCCTACACGTTAAAGATTCCTCGGGTGCAAAAAAGTGCAATTTGTCTAACAAATTCGTCTCATTACATACTTCGGTGTTCGTCCTTCAAATCCACCAATACATGCTACTAAGTTGGCAAGTTTCGGACTAGGAGATGGAATATCACGCGAATTGACATTGATGGTATATTTCCTGTACTGTACCATCTCTATATAACATAGTCATTTCCTGAATAATTTGATACCAGTTAGTCATAAGCATATAAGATAGATAGACTTAACTTTTGAAAGGTAGGTACCATTCAGTATTATTCATCAATAGAGGCAAAAAATCAGATCAGAAAAGCAGAAATCAGAAAGAAAAAGCATTTTCAGTGTAATAGTACTTTATTCTCTTCTAATCTATTCTATTCTATTCTATTGCATTAAGGTTTTTAGAAAATTACAAAATTAATTTAATTTCTATTTTGATCCTTCACATAAGTTATAAAATAGCCCAATGTTTTAAAAAATCCTTATTGGTAAATTTGTGTAGCGTTTATGTTGGAATGATTTTCGGCCTTCAAAAGATAACGACATGCATGGGTCGTAACGCAATTTCTTACGTCAAGATTTATAATGTTAATACCACATATTTTATGATCCAAGTTTCTATTGTTTACTTAGTCTCTGACTGGTTTTGGCTATTGTTTACATTATATGAGGGGCTATCGATTTCAGTGATTCACCTGTCTTGTCGTTGCTCCTTTCGTCTTGTCTCGAGTTTTTAAAGCAACGCGCCTACACTTCCGAATTAGGTTTAGAGCTACATTTGGTGTTTAGATCAGTTTTTCATGGTTTTTGTAACAATATTTTAAGAGAATTGTGAAACCAAACAAATGAAATTGATTTTTCGTTCTCAAAACTATTTGTAAATAATTCTGCTAATACCCAACAATTTTATATATACAGCTTGTTGTTTCTAACAACTGTATATTGTATATTATATTGCTCTTTGTATAGTCCGACAAAGGTAAGGAACTCTCTAAACGGCAATGAATCGCATTCATGTGATCTTAGATGAAGTTTCTTCTTCAGAATGATTGTTATTTGTGAAAAATAATGCTAATATCCCTAATTTGATATAAACAGTATGCATTATTATGAAAATATATATAATAATATATCCATAAATATAGGGACATCATGCTTAGATACCTACCAATTGCGCTTTATGGAGTACGACATAGATCATAGAATTTTCTAAGGATTAGCAAAGAGGACGACAAATTCAATACACCTGTAACAGGTGAGGAAAGGCGATATTAAAATCTACGCATTTGGAGTTGTGTACTTATCTCAAACCAACCATTACAAATTTTTGACAAATAAGATCTACTACATAATACGTTTATCACAATTTTTTTAACACAAACACAAATTAAATTTTAAAGGGAAATAAAAGAGAATTTCTGGCCTGTGTAAGCATACATTTAAAAAAATGATATTTGCGATAGTGACGTAATAATTCGATAAGACTAACGGCAAAAGAGAATACCATGATAAAAGCCACAAAAGCCAGGAAAAATATCCGAAGCCTCTTTCATAGAATAATTTTGAATTTCTTGTGCGCATGGCCTTTAATTGACCTATGGTTGGGAAGGGTCGTCATTTTATATTTATTAGTATTTGTTCTTAATCTTGATTTATCATTATGTAAGCCGATCTGGATAAACGTCATAGATAATATCCAATTCACTAAGGTACAAAAGGCTTGCATATTTCAAACAGGGTAATATAATGATTTGAAAACAAGATATCTCTTGGATTATTATTATAAATTTATAGAAACAGTCACGTAAGTAAAATTTGTTCTTGAACTTGTAGGGTGTAACCTTTTCTGCAAACTTTGAAAATATACGAATTTTCATGAACAAGGGCAAGTCTTTCAAAATTGATTTACGTTCTATATGTTTTTTATTGATTTAACGGCCAGCTTTCAGTCTTTGCTATTCAATTGAGCAAATCGTATTTACATTATAAGTCTTAAAACCATTATTCTGAAATTACTATGACAGAGTACTCTTAGGCTAACATCCAAGAAGACTTGGTATAATTATGTCTGCGATTGTGTCTGCCTGGCTCAGTGAGTTGTACGCGTTCTAACTAAGCTGAAGGTCCTAAACTCGGCATAGGTTGAGATAATGCCTTTTAAAGATTTTATCAACTAGATTTCCCCCAGTCAGTGGTGCAGGTGTGAGGGGCGAAGGGCTGACATGGGAAAGTGCCTAGTTGTTCGGATGGGACCATAAACGAAGCAGTTGTAAATGGAACAAGATTAGACTAATACCGCTGTCCTGGGCAAATTGCCCTCATTGTACACCGAGAGCAGTACGCATCATAAATATAGTTAATAAAGGTTATTCATAATGCGACCTTTGATAATAAATCTATGAAATATATTTGAGAAGAAAGTGAGTACTAACCGTGTGACAGATTTCTAAACCTTCTCACAATACTGGTTAAAACAGGTCGAGTCAATTAATAGATAATATATGTCAGAAAACAAGAACAAGTCATATATATGAAAAAAGGCGTAGAATTTTGGTTTGTTTTTTAGTTCATATTTTCTTAGGTATCTGGAATTAGTTTGGTAAAGTTATGTCATAATGGACATCTGTGGTCATAAGGGCCAAACTGTCTAAAAGTAACGGTCATGGTTGGATGATGACGAGTTAACGTTCGCTTCCAGCGGATGAAGTAACGGTCATGACAATTGGTTTCCTTTATAGTACTTGAATAGTAATGAAATTTTTAGTAATGTCATTAAAAAAGGCGTAGCGACCGATTTAACGCTACATTTAGAAACATTGTTCATCAAAGCCTGATATAAAACTAAGTAAGACTTGTGTTCAAATGGAGAAAGGATTATCCAGTTAATTTACGTGTAAGTTATATCTGAAAATATTTCTAAATATTTGTATCTATTTGATTAAACTGAATTTGTTAAAAATGGTTAATTAAAACCAATCTTTGGTGTTTCGCTTTATAAAGGCTCGGCATCATTAGTGGAAATCTTTAGAATACGTAGGAGACATATTTCTCTACAATTAGGCGTTTATTTTACTCAAATCGGTACTGTAGTTTTCTAAAGCCCCAGTCCCACTGGGATTTGCAATTGTTTGCGAACCATTTGCGATATAGTGCACAATCGCAATGCTTCGAAATGACATATGCAAAATGCATTGCCGTGCTTCTGCGATGGTGGCAAGTGATCACAAGCCTTCTCACTGGATCGCGACCGCTTCGCAAGAGCAGGAAAATCTTGACGAGTGCAATGAAATTTGTGAAGATTTATTCACGACGTTTTGTCGCCAAAAGTGCACGCAAGAACATGCGCAGAACGTCGGCAAATATTTGTTGGTATCGCGGCGGAACGTTTGCGAAAATTTTTTATACCTCGTTATTGTCGTACCATCTGTTACACATTGATGGGTAGTCGTCGATCTGTTGATTTTGCATTGTGAAACGTCACGTGATTGCTCACACCATGTTTTGAAAACGTTTATGACAGTGTCTATTAACCACGTCCGTGACAAAAAGTCACAAAAACCTTTCAGATACGATAAAGGGAACATTTCTCTAGACTTTGGTGTGTAGTTTTCACAAATTTGAGCACAAAAATTTTTCGACCTACAAAAAAAACGGAATGTCCCTTTAAGGTATTCAATCACATTCACAGTTATATCACGGTAGTTGATTATCAACGGATTGTAATTATTATGATTATTATTAGTAAATGTATATTTCAGAATATTCGGAAGTAAAATAATTATACACCATGAAGATTTTCTGTGTTATGTTCGTATCACTCTGTATTTACGAGGGAATCCATGGACATGGTAGATTAATAAATCCGCCATCTAGAGCATCCATGTGGAGATATGGTTTTGATACACCACCTGATTATAATGATAATCAGGGTTTCTGTGGCGGATTTAATGTAAGTATCCCTTTTGTTAGAATTGCACTGCATTTAAAACATGTTAAAATGGCCAATGGTTACAAGATCTGGACGTAAAATATGACTGGTGCTAAAAATGTTCAAAAATGTTGCGTGTTGAATAAATTAAAGGGGAATTATGCAAAATGTTCATTATCAAAAACATTCTAAATTATATCTGAAAATATTTGTAAAATATATGCTATGTTCTTACGATAAAAACAGGATACATAATGGGAACCTATTCCACGCTTTTGATCCTATTTGTACGCATGTTCGCTTCACCAACTTAAAGTCAGAGTTTGCGACATAGACATCGTAAAATTTACCACTTGTTTCTCGCTGTAATACAGTCCGTGCACGTTAAAGATCTTTCGGTGGTTTGAAATCGACGAGAGTAGGCTACTATCGGTCTCCTGTGGATATTTCACTGATTCGAGTTGGTCAAAACTTTAATAACTGATCCATCGTGTTATCTTTTTTTAGGTTCAGCATACACGAAACGGAGGTAAATGTGGAATCTGTGGTGATGCCTACGCTGGTGCGATCAAAGAACATGAAACACCAGGAAGATACGCAACTGGACAAATTGTGAAAAATTATCAAAGTGGAGAAACTATCAAAGTGGACGTGGAAATAACGGCGAATCATAAAGGTTATTTCATCTTTAAATTGTGTGCCAACAATAATGTAAAGAAAGATCCAACTCAGGACTGTTTTGATCAAACAAGACTTACCTCCCCTAGTGGTTCCGATAAGTTCTATATAGACTACAGTACTGGTATAAAACAGCTTTATGTTGTTTTACCTTCAAATTTGGTTTGTACTCAATGTATTTTGCAGTGGACTTACATTACTGGTAAGTAAATATATATTATAACCTCCTGGGCATAGGCTATAATACTTACAGAACTTCTGCAATCATAATATCCACATTTTATTTTTACGTCAAGTTAGTAAAACCTTTTCTAATCGGCTGTGGGCATCAGGAAGCACGCCCAGACTAATTTCGAGTTTATGGTTAATTACTATATAAGATATGACAGGGTTATCCCATCGTACGATTAGATAATCTAAATGGATAACGTTTTTGAAATTTAGCCAATTATTTTCATCCGCTCGTGTCGCTGTTAAATCTTCGGAATGTTGACAAATGCAGAAATAACATTTAACGAAAACTAGTTGTTTTTACGTTGACCTGAGCCTTAAAACAAGCGGAGAGGATTGCGACATTAGGCTGAAGATGTAATATTTGATATTTATTATCCTTTTACTTACAGGAAACAGTTGGGGAGTGTCACCAAATGGAACTGGATGTGTGGGTTGTGGACCTCAAGAAAACTTCCGAGCCTGTTCCGATATTGCAGTCAGTGATGGCGAAGATGACGAAGAGGTGCCAAAAGTGAAAACTGTCATGGCCCGAGCGGTAACATCTCCTACATCTTCAGTATCGTCTTCAGCGGATTCAGCACCTCCACCTATTTCAGTCGAATTAATTCCTTCAATCAATAACATTCCATTCACCCTGCCATGCCATGGTGCTGGTGTTTTTAAAAATAATATAGTATACGATATATGGTGTAGCGCCAACTGTGCTGGTCGTTTTTGTCCAGCATCACATTGTTCCTGTGATGAAGATGGTGGCAATCTGTTTGCCGTGTGTAGGTCTCACGGAGTTTATAAGAGTACAGATATTGATGTATGGTGTAGGACCAATTGTCAGTTAGGATACTGTCCTAAGAGTCATTGTATCTGTGGCTAGATATGAGATGATGGACGGAAAGAGTATTATATAGCATTATTATTATTCGCAATGAAGGAATTGTGCAATGCTACACTGTTAAAAAAAAATTCCTTCAATTAACAAAAAAATTCTGGAAGCTGATTTACCAGAATTTAAATTTTGCCTTCAGTTATATAACAAAATTTCTTGTAAAATATTTGCTTTAAATAACAGAAATATTTACGACAAAATAAATGACTAATGGATATTCTGGTAAATCTGCTGCCGGAATTTTTCTAATATTTCCTGTAATTTAACAGAAAATAGAAAGGGTATTCTGGTAAATCAGCTGCCGGAATTTTTCTAATATTTCCTGTAATTTAACAGAAAATAGGAAGGATATTCTGGTAAATCTGCTGCCGGAATTTTTCCTTCCAGTTCTGTAAAAAGACAGAATTTTGAAAAAGATATTTTGGTAATAAATCTGTTGCCAGACATTTTCATTTTTCTGTAAAATAACAGAACATTTTAACTTTATTTGTTTATTGATATTATTTGTGCATTGTAAATAATCGAGAAAGATGTTAACTACACCTTTAATTATACATACAACTGAAAATGTGGGCGTATAAAAACAATCTTTTGCATAAAAAAATGATGAACATACTCATCACTATTGACATCTTTAACATTCTGATAACTAATGACATCTCTTAATGATATTCTCATAAGTAATGACATCTTCATAACGTTCTAACTAATGACATCTTGGTGACATTCTGATTTAACTAATGTCTTTCTTTTTTTTATTTATGGTGACACTATTTTCTCTACATTGTCCATATTTTATTAATTTGACAGAACTACAAGGACCTGTGGTCCAGTAATGCTACTACATCTGGACATAGTCCTTTTTTAGTGTTCAACAAGGTTATAAGACTCCATCATCCAGCGCAATACAGTTTACGATGTAACTTTAATCATTATTATATAAGGCCTAATTGTTTTTGATGTGCACAGTTAATTGTTGCCCGTTCGAAAGTCAGGCCAAGTCTATAATGCTCCGTAACATTTAGCTGGTAAATGATGGCAGAAACTCGAAAGAAAAGGAAAAAGTGACATACCTGAAAAGATAATTTTACATTGAGAAAATATTTGTTGTGCTGTAGTGTTAATCCAACACAGAATCATCGATTTATGTAGTGGATAAAATTCAGGTTTCTTTAAAGGTTCTATATTTGGACGCCTGATTTTCCAAGTACTGGAAGTGTACTTCCAGTCTTAGTGAAGATTTTTATCCACTACGTATATCGATGATTCTGTTGGATTAACAGGAAGAGCATTCGCAGAATTATTATAGTCTACGTCAAGGATTAATTTTGAAAAAATTCTTATAGGTGGAAGAAAGATTCCTTGGCCTTGATGCTCCCTGTTCCCGACGACAGTAAAAAGTTAAGAGAAGTAATTCTGAAACAAACGACCTTGTTCAGTCGTTGTGATCATTAAAAAAAATCTAGAGGTTTTTGTACGTTTTATTGTGTGCCCCATTTTATTTTTAAAAAAGATTATTGCTATTTTAAACACGAATTAAATCAGAAAATGTGAAGGAAATATCTCAAAGCAAAAAAAAAAAAGAAATATTAATTTGTTTCGTTTCATTTTTAAAATAATTTTGATTCCATAATATTGACGTCAACAAAAATTTCGTCAAATTGAATAGTTTCGTTTTGTAGTATGAAAATCTACGATCCTTAAATTTAACAATGCTCATTTTTGCGCCTTTTTTTCATTCCGGTATGCCGGTTGGCAGCGGTAGGCGGTTGACTTTTAAAACCTACGTCATTTTGACTTTTTTGTTGTTCCCAAACTTCATTTGGTAGTTTTGACGTTATTTGGTAAAAATAGAACAGGAATGAGTGGTGAAATATCGCGTCAGCATTTTAAATTCTCACTTCACCATATTAAATTGAATCTAAGAAATTCACAAAAAGCTTTGTTTTGATGTGGTACAAGATGGCGGCGTGACGACAGACTGACCTCGTGTCTTTTCCGGCGACAATTCGATTGGTTGGTTGAATTACGTCGTCATACTTTGATTGACAGGTCGGAACTGCCCTTTTTCGGAAATGTGTGAAAGTCAAATTCATGTTTAAGTAAAATTATAGCTTCATCAATTTCAAATCTAATGATGTAAAATATGATTAGTTTCGAGTTAGTGGGTTTACTTTTGAGAACGAGGCTTTTCAAGGTTTGCGTTATGAGCCTCGTTCTGGATTTAATGTAGCCGACGCGTGAATAAAGTCTTAGGCCTACACGGCATCATCCTGTGTGGTTTGTATGCGTATAAAAGATTGTGCGCGGGCCCAATTTTGAACTGGTCATGCACTTTCCATTAATTGTTATTGCCAAAGTGAATTTTTCCGCATGGTGATGGGTGTGGGTTGGACCAATTTACCGCGTACGAATACCTACTGTGAACAAAATATAACCGTGGACGAATATTCTGTGACCAAATTACGGTTGACGAATTATTGTGACCCAATTTACAGATCAAAATCATATTTTCCGTAAATTAACATCGATCCTCTTAAAATTTTCTGTAAATTAACAGCAATCTTGTTATAATTTTCCGTAAGGAAACATATAACGTTCCTGTCAAAAAATAGTATGCCCACGCATGCCCAGGTTTCGCTTATCTACAGACAATTTTGGACATACATGATAATAACGCAAAATGTACGTAAATTTACTGACAAATAACGTAATTGTTGTTAAATGACATAACTACCATACAATAATACTATAAATAAAATAACATATTTCGTTACTGTGGAACTAACATTTTGTTGATGTAAGAAAAAAAATCCGTAAATCAACAGAAAAGTATGTATATCAGCAGAAATTTACGTTTGTCAACAGAAAATACAAAGTAAATTTCTGTAAAAAAAAAAGCGGACTTTTTTTTACAGTGTATCAAATATCAACAAATTTGTTTTTACATTTTGTGGGTTTTTCTTTGTGATCTTTTTAATTCTACATGATTTTTGATTTTGATTGGAGGAACAGTAGACGTAAGGAAGCCTTTATATGGGCAAATCAGATATTTATATATAAATATACTGGTTTGCACTCCCAATTGTACCCCTACTTTATTTTTCAACAAATCTACTTCTTTTCTCCAAAATATGTGTCAGAATGCACAATATCTTTTTATGTTTTCCAAAGTCTTCTTCTTCTAACATGCTCTATGAGAGGCTTGCGACAATGACCCCACCATAGAGTAGCCAAAATTTGAATTCCCCCATTTAGTCAGTTTGCCCCCTATTTGTATCCTCAGTCTCGTAAGGCTGAAACTGCAATGAAAATGACATGGCCCTTTTATGTCGAACGCATCCTATTCGTTTTTGTCATTTTTCAGAGAAAACTTCAAAGAACTAAAGAACAAGCTGAATCGCCATATTTCTAGCTTAGTCGTTGCTCTGTTTACATAAACTTTGGAAAATTTAGAGAGGATTTAAAACTTCTTTCAAAGAAAATTCTTTGATCATCAATTTCAAATTGAGAAGGGGAAACACGTGTTATTTTTATCCATAAACTCGTATATGGAGTCCACAATTCTCTCCCTTTGACCATCCACTATACTGTAAATAGTGAAATAGTTAATTAAGCCATGAGTCCTATCCCTTAATCATTTTCAAAGTCGAATTTAAGTTGTAAAAGTAAGAAGAAAACTAACGAAAGGATAATTTGAAAGACGTGATAGAAATTTGGTTTATAATCCTTGATCGTATCCGAAATTATTTATCAAAACCTAGTTGGGAAGTAACTGTATTTGAACTTAAATGAAATGAATGGAGTTCTACGTCCGACTTTTATGCACCATGTGGGCTAATGAAGACTTTCGATTTCCAACTGTCGAGGGATCTTTAACGTGCACAGCCTGTGACACACGTGGCCTCGGTTTATTGTCCCATCTGAACGACTAGACGCTTTTTCCATGCCAGCCCTGCATCACTGACAGGGGGAACCGGGTTGAAAAATCCGAAGGTATCATCTCGACCTATGCAGGATTGAACCCTGGATCTTCAGGTTAGCGAGGAAACTGTATTTGAGTTTTTTGTAAACATGCTTTATTCAAAAATAAGTCAACGGAACTTTAAGATTATAAATGTCTGTTCTTGGTTTGAAATTCAAAATGTTATTTCAACGTTAGGTAAATCTAACATAGGCACAGAATGAATGTTAAAAAATATCGTGATGTTGACCATAAAACTTTTTCACGAAACGGTCTTAGAGGCAATTATGCTTTATGCCAGCGCAGACAAGAGTGAATAAACCTGGATTATGTAGAAGAATAAATGAGATCTACTTGATGGTTCTGTCTTTTTAAAAGATTTTTTCAGCCAACCCTCGTACTAAGACTCTACTCTCTACTTTGGCGTGTTGGTGTTACTTTGTTCCCAATTCACTGACAGAATAACGCTTGATGGATTAACTTTGCTGTTACTGGAACAAAATGCTGTTAATTTGATCAAAATCATCTTGCCATTAAAGATTAATTTCTTACAAAAATCTTCGCCATTCATCTTGACAGATCGAGAGGTATTGGAGTTCTAACAACGAAAGGGGCTCTTTTAAAACCATGTTGTTTATAGTAAATAATAATCAAACTAGACTATACAAATACCATACATATTTTCACAATGTTAATGGTCACATTTCTTGTATCACAAAATGCAGCGTTTTGATTGGATTGTACGTCTGCGAATGCAACCAATCATAGCTGTCGACAGACTGTTAACATGACAGCTAATTGTTAACATACATTCTGTCGAGGATTCTGAATGGCTATATCCGCGAACGTACAATTTTTATTGCATTTATAAACTTTCGTGATGCAAGAAAGGCGGCTATTGCAGTCAAGAAATACGACCATGTTCGTAATAGCTTGACATTGTGAAGATGTACCATACCATACCCCCTGTCATACTGGAATATATTAACTGGAAATAGTTCAATTTTGCTTTATTGATAACATTTATTTGTTCAGATCATTAGTGTTATGTTTTGATAATTTCTTATTTAATGACTTTCATTTTTACAGGAAAGAAAGAGATCGTTGGCATAATTTTCAATGTTGTCAGTAGTAACCAGGCGTCGAGAAGGTATCTTGCAAATATATTTTTGGTTTTTTGGGTGAAATTTCCACTGATGTTTTTGCTAGGTCAGGCATGAATTGATCTAATTGTATGTCATGATTTTGACCATAATAGTAGTGGCGGCTGTCGCATGCGAAACAGACCATGCTTTCCCCTTTCAAACACCTGATGGTACACGTACTTCTCTTTGGAGGATTCCACTAACATACAACCTTTACTCTCGATTTTGCCATTCTTTGGACGAGATTTTGGATTGAGGAAATTGTCTTGCTTGTATGGATTTTTATTATCTAAACCATGATCTGATTGTTACATATAGATATTATTGACGATCTGTCAGAGGTTTGTCTGTTTGAAAGAAGGAAATCCCCGACTTCGAGATGACGGACGAATGTGTAGAATACATTAAGAGTAGCATTTCACATCATAAATCAACAAAAAAACTGTAAACAAATCTTTCTTCGATATGTAAATCTGCCACACTGCGAGTTGTAAGCACAGCTTTCTCGGATTTCGGTACCGATGCCAGAATTTCTTGTGTATGAAATATAAATATTGTTCTAGCACAATGCAGATGGTCTACAATCTGCAGTTAAATTATATGTTCTATCACAATTTTCAACAAAATGTGGCAAAAAATGTTAACATTATACCTCTAAGCATATTCCGCAATATTCGTTGTTTAAAAAAAACCGCTCTCTCAATCTTTTCATCTGTACCAACATAATATATCATCTGTATTTTACTGTGAAAGACTACACTCAAATGCAGCGTGAAACCACCACACGCCACTAGAAAACTGTATCTTTGATTAGATTTTAAACGACTACAACCTCTACACACTCTCTTTGTTGGATTTGGTTTTATCATTGGAAGGCACTATATCATACTGTGTTTTTCCATTACGCTGTTTAGATGCCTGCTTCTTTCTAGCTAAAGGTTCTAATGCTAATATGATAGAGCCAACAATAGCGCAGGCACCCAAAAAGTGAAAACAAGTAACATAGGTTCCTGTAACATCTCGTAAACCACCTGAAAATACATAAATTATTGACAAAATATAAGTTTCAACCAGTTTTTGTTCTGTGTGTGGCTTGGCGGATAGGCTTTGAAATACTACGTAGTGAAATTTTGGTAGCACAGATTATTTCAGTCGCATCCTCGCAATGCGGAACCACACTGGCATATATCTAATACAACCACCTACAAACCTACACCAGTTTCAGCTACGAAAAGTAGCGCTGGTCCAAGAGCAAATGTAGAAAAATAGGATTGAGAAAAAGGTGACGTAAGTTGACCATTTAATTTCATCTCAATTTCCCAAATTATATTATCTTCAAATGATAATTACTTTACCAGTGAGGGATTTCAATAATCGGTAACTAAACCGCGAAGTGAATACTTACCCAAGACGGGGTAGCATATAGCTGCAGAGGCACCATGGAAAACCTGAACAAACCCAAATACTTTCGTAAAACTCTCAAATCCCATCAGTTCGATAATTACCACAGCCAGTAGAGAGAAATAGACACCACCAAGTATTCCGTACAAGCACGCTAAAACTATCATTAAGGCATACGTATCAAAGAATCTTACAAATTGGAAAATTACACCCAAAGTAAACGTGGATATGGCAACCATATGAGGAGTTCTCATTACATTCAATTCAGCTAAAACACCGGGAACAATCCTACTTACGATGTCTAGAGCACCACTGATAGTTAATAATAACGAAGTTTGGCTATCCTCCAAACCCAACTCCACTCCCAAAGCGGGGATAAATGCTGCCGCAAGCGCTGATCCACACATACACGTAGGTGTAAACCCGGCCACAACCCAAAATACTGGATTCTTAAACAAACTCAAGTCCAGAATGTTTTTGAGTTTAGATAAAAGTTTGCTGTTATCTCTTTCTTTCTCGGTTTCTTCTGAGGTACACGGTTCGACAGTTGCTTTCAGATCAACAATCGATGCATAAACAAGGTTTGGATTACTGGCGTACAATAACATTCTGGATCGCGATAAGGTGTCCACAATACTGTGACTCTCTGAAAGGTGCGTTTTTCTTCGTAAATGTCCATTATCATCAGACTGTTCAATAAGGAATGTATTATGTTTCATGGGCGGAGAGTTTAATGGTTTAACCAGATCTGACTGATAAGATCGATTGGATAATGTCCGTTCTCGGAATATATTTCTATCGGTAGTAAAGTGATAAATATTGTCCTTATCGGAGTGGGGTGAAACAGGGGTGGCATCTACCACCTTATCTTTTGATATAACTTGTTCAGGTAAACTATAAAATGATTCCAAACTTTTAAAATCTTCCACGTGCACCTCTGCACTTTCGTCCTCTGGATGTTTACCTGGATCTCTGTACAGAGCGGTACATATTATGACTTGAGCCATGACGCCACCAAGGTTAAGAAGACCTCCTCTTAAACCAAACTCGTCCATAAACAGCGGAATAATAATTGGTATTATCACAGCACCGGCACTTGCACCTGCATTAGCTAGGGAATTTGCTAATGCCAATCGCTTTTTAAAATATCGCCCGATTAAGACAATACCAGGACCATATGTGAAGGCGTTTCCAAGACCTGAAATTGTAAGTGAATTGTAAGACAATTGCTGAAGCATCCTAAGACAACACATATATTGCTAGTTGGTAGATGACAAGTTCCGCTTCCAGCTAATTCATATCACAGACTATTAGTTGGATAGATTAATGAGACTGCAAGGAGATACAATTTCAGCATATAACCCCAGTCGGACACACCATGACTTGGGTAATGTGTATCCCTTAACTTAAGATTTGCGAACAGAACATTGGTCCAAGAGAATCCCTTTTTCATTTACAATAAGATTGTGAGTTGCTAACTGATATGGACAACAGGTCTGAGATACTTATGTGAATATTGCTCACATTCTATGAGTAGCTGGTCATAAATTTTCAGTGGCATTCGGATAATTATTATCGCAATAAGTCTATTGGAATTATAGCCCCAAGCTGTTCTGTATAAATTCATTGTTTTTCATCGGCTAATTAGCTCGCCGTCAAGTATATGTCTGCAAGTATTGACAACTTTTCAGTTAAAGAAGTATGACAATAAATAAAAACCTACAAATCAGTAAACCTGCCTATAAGAACACTTTGTGAGAAGATAAGGAACTCGATATTCTCGGCAAAATAACTAATTGCCACCCCTGATGATGTTAATATAGATCCCAGTACAGCATAGCCTCGTATTGACCAATAGTCAATTAATATACTCAACACCAACAGAGCTGTAATAGAAAAATATGCATCATAAAATTGAATGTTTGGTTCTAAGACGTCCTTTGGCAATAAAATGAATTGCAGTTTTGTGTCTTATATGCTAAAAACAAAACACGAAGACGGACGATGCTATGGTCTTCCTAACTGTATTTTTCTAAGTGCCAAAGGGTATTTAATGTAGCACATCGAGCGGTAAGATGTCGACCGGTATCACTTATGAGGCGAGGGGGGAGGGGCGTTTTTGGAAATCAGAAGATATAATGTCGACCCGGTTAATCTGTTGTTAATTATATATTATCAGTACTATTGAAAGGCCAGCGTGTATAATTTGCTGGGAACACTGATATTGCTATGGTAGAAATATCCCTTCCCTTCCAGTATCGACAGGCAAATAAACTCAGTTTATCAAAATGTAAGTATTTACATGTCAGGCTGAAAATAGCAGACTGAATTCCCATAATTGTTGATGTATAGGAGGCTGGTGCTTTAAACTCTGCCAAGAATTTAACAAAGAGTAAACCAAATGCTCTTAAATACCCTATCTGTAGTATGTGTACCACAAAACACGCTGGAAATAGAAATAAAAAAAAGTTAGAATTCGTACAGAAAATGTGTTTTTCTCTGGTAACGCTCAGTTGGTGGTTATTGGCAATAGAATGAAGATGGTTTACAGACGTAATTTAATGAAAAACGTTGAATCGCATCTAACAAAACTACTACACGTACATGTATATTTAATGATATTTATAACTAATATTACATCAAACTTTCTGGGGTTTTTTTTGTTAGCTTTTATTTTTACTAAGCCACTCCAGTTAAGGTCTTACGTATGAATTCGCATTCTTCGTATGAATAATCTTTCCTCTCACCTAATGACCTCTCCTTTAACCATTCGAATTACACTGGTCAAATTCAGAACAACCAATGTTCAGTTTCAATGGACTTGAAAAACAGGTCTTATGCTCTTCGGAACACACATTATATTCGAGTCTTACAATTCGAACGCTTGAGAAATATTTGATTGACTGGTGACAGATGAATCTTATATAGACTCTAACTGGAGTGGTCGAATAAAAAGAAAAGAAATTAAGAATTATTATTATTTGGAAAAACTTGTACCAGCAACGACAACCCAGCCATATCCACCATCTAAATGTGTGGGTTTCTTTTCTTCTTTCGTTTCATTCAAACTTTTAGTTTCTTCTTTTGTACTCCTTTCATCCATCCTGAATTTTCTGAAAAGATAAATGAAGTTTCTGTTAGTAATAAGCCAAATCCACCAACATCTCTTCTGGTAGACAGAGTCAATGACAGGGCGAAATATAATTCGCTCACACTTTTCACTAACAGTTATGATCAAAATAAGTTTTCGAGGATCTCATATTTAGCTTACAATGGCCTTTCTGTTTCTATTCAAAGCTGCGCGGACTGGAATACTGAGGACAGATGGCATATTCAAATCACCAGAATTTAGATAGCCTACCGACATTAAAACCGGCCCAATGTTATTTCCATAAATTTATGTTAAACTCAGAGAGTCAACATTTTTTAAATTGATGAAATCAAAAGGTGGAAGATTGCACGATGATTTAATCACCATTATTGGAGTTCTTTCCCTTGATTACTTTTCTAAGTACTGGACTACCCTACAGAAAATATAGATTCTGCCGTACCCATAGATGCAATATACTTGGACTTCCAGAAGGCGCTTGGCAAGGTACCACATATGAGACTTATCATCTATTAACTCAAAAGAAATAAGAACCAGGGGCAACAACAAAAAACTAGAAAAACAACAAGTAAGATTGGATGTCAGCAAATAGTCAGAAAATAAGAAATATTCGGAATTCTCCACCAAATTCTGCGCACCCCAATCAATCAGTCAACTTTAAGGTGGTCCCGAAGCGGTTAACCTTTACCCCAGACAGTAAACATTATGAACATGCAGACGAGGACTTTTATTTGTAATAAATATGCATAACATAATCAGTGAAATAAATAACACTGTATCGAAATATATATATATATATACACCGCCTTTGTTATAAGCATCACGGCTTGTCACAACAGGACAAAATAATAATCAACGTAAACAGTTAAAAACTCATTAAAAAACTCATATCATCAAATTATCTTTTGAAATTTAATAAATAATAAGTTAGAGTCGTATAAAGTCAATGTGATAAACCTATCTAATTCAAAACATCAAATTCAATTGATAAAATCAAACAATTTAGAAATTAGTCAAACGTGAAATATCATTATCTTTATACAAAATAAAACAATAAAACGAAGAGATAAACGAACACACGATTGTGTATTCTGTACATTTATAAAAAAAAATGACACATCCATCATTATTAAAGCCTAACATGAAATGAGTCGGAGTTAAATCCCAGGTGACATTTTATTCCATCCAAATCAGGCTAACTATGATCAAGAATTCCTAATTTACTGTGGACAAAACGTTTTTTCACTTGACGAAACTTGGGAATATACAACTTTAATATAGAAATGAATTTACATAGCTATAATAAATTGTTAAAAATTGAGAGCAAATCGATGAAAACTATTATACATTAAGTCCAGAATACAAAGCTCAATTCTCTGTATCTGTATTTGTCAGCTCTCTATAAACAGTGGGTAATAAAAAAAATCATCGATTTTAATTTTTGTATTTTATTGTTAGTTATTATAAATAAAATTCGGTCATTATCAAAGATCTACTTCAAATTATATTCCGAATAAAATGAAATAGAGTTTTAATTCTTACTTATCTTCTGATTTTACTATGCACCCATACACCCAAGATACGGAATAATCGAGACGGTATACAATAGAAGAAGAGACGAGCCAGGGCCTGTCTCTCGTGAATTTGCAACTTCAATTTTCTACTCTACGGTATACAGCATCGGCCACTGATTCCCATCTATTTGCACATGTACGGTGCAGAATTACCGATACAAAAGTGACATCGTGGTCGAACCCATACCACGTGTATTTGCTTCTTCTATTTTCTACTGTATCGATAATTCCACACCGTAGCCTACACCGCAACGGGACGTCATATAATATTTCAATTTTCAATGATACGTTATTCAATTCAACTCAATGAATTCCCGAGTATTTCAACTTACCTATATCATGCTCCATGTACTACTCTGTTGAAGATAACAAGTAATCTATACAATTCAACATGTACTGATATATCCAGGGCCAAAAAATAAATTAATAGACACACGTGTGTATTCTATTATATCACACAGCAAATCATTTTCTCATTTTTCTTCATTTACTGGGAATACAGAATTATAGTATAATATATGTCAAATGATATTATAATGTATAGTCCAAAACACAAAGACTATGCATTTGGCCTCATATAATGTTTTGACGGATGGCCCGCCAGATTGATAAACGATATTCGAACTATAGCTATATATGATGACACGCAAATAAATATTTATTCAAACCTAAATATTTTCTAAATAAGTTGATAAAACTTTTGCGATATCTCCTGTCTCTTTTCTGCACTGAATCCGTCGTACGGTTTGTAACAATCAATAAATCATACTATGCAGATCCCTTATCATTTTCCCATGCAGATATTACTGATGACGTCATAATATTGCCACTATCTACAAGGGAGAATGTTAATCAATCTAATTAAATGTTATCAATTTCGCCGATCTGTTTTTGTTGTTTGCTTTTTCTTTTTTTACAGCAAGCCAGGAGATGAATATTTATTTTGAAACCCTTGAACCCTTGAAAAGAAAATAATATTTAGTCTATCTATAAAGATGCAATGATTTTCACGAGGTTTGCACTAGAGCAAATATGAAATCCTGTTTCATTTATACTTCAAGTTTTCCATGCATAAAATATGCCATTCATTTTCTATTCAGTAAACAGAATAATGTTAAGTTTGTTTATTTTATTATTTTTATTATTCTCTACGTTATCAATTAGCAGTCAAAAGAAACCAAATAGAAGCGGGGCAGTCCCTTTAATAAAAGAAGTTTAATATATTTGATATACAGGTATGACTTTGCCAAGGTCGTGCCAACATGTAATATCACAGATCTATTAAGCCAGTTGTATTACAGTTACTGATTGAATCTAACCTGAAACTTAACCAAAATAAACACAAGTAATCGTTTGTCCAAACATCGCCAAGAGAACTGGATAACACATTTATATTTATACCATAGTACATAGTAACACTAACAAGATTAAAGATTGAAATAAAATAAGTTTGATAATCTATTATTCTGTGCCTCGTAAACAATTCATTTTGTCTTAATACAAACAATTCTTGGTAAACTTCTGACCGGTGTTATGCCTGTTACCGGTTACACAAAAATGCTTTCTCTACAAAGGTCACTATCGACAATCTTCACATCTGGAGGGGCTGACATGGAAAAACCTCTTGTCGATGGGACCCTTGACGATAAGTGACGTCACCAAACAATTTTAGTGGAATTCCAGGAACCACAGACGTCTAATTGAAAATTGGATTGGTGCAAATTGATGCTATCAGTGCCCCAGTACACATAAAATTATTTAGAAAACCTCTACAATCATTTTAACACTAAAATATATTGTTATTCAATTCTTTTCTTTGGGTTTACCGACACGTGTAGTGCCAATTGTCTGTAACAGCTCGGACAAATTATCATGTGGCATATGTTTTTTCATGGAAGGCGGGTCGGTTTTATGGGTAAATGTCATGTTCAGATCTCCAAACCGAGCATCAACTGGATTATCTGCAAATGTATTAGAACTTTTAATGTGCTAAAAGAACTAGCTTGATATTACATTTATGTTAAAAAGCATTCTGCAAGATTGAAAAAAGTTCAACTACAATCAACAACAGGTACATGAACATGGCAGAATCACAAAATATTCAATACAAATTTTTCATGAAGTTGATATAAGCGACTACTTCCAGGCATCAACCCAAGACATCAGAAAATAAATTTTTCTCCATCTACAACTAGGTGCCTAATACCGACAGGAAAAAAAGAATTTCTGATTTCTCTTCATATGTCGTTTTCAGTCTCAAGCCACGACCTAACATCATTAAATGGATGATTAATGCTCTAAGGAGAAATATGTATGATACTATGATAGTTTTCTATAATAAGAACCAATTAAGGGTCTAAATTGACTAAATATTTCGAACTATAATCTTCATGACACTCGCCTTTTTTTACTTCACATTTTAGATAATTTGATGTAAAAATTCACACATAAAGCATAAATACACGACAACTGGTTCGATAAATAGATAATATGACAATAATAATTTGATGACAATGGCACCATCTGTGACTTTGTGATTCTTTTTGAATAATCATTTATTTTTCATATATTTGACTTCTTTGTCAATTATCTAACATCAAAGACTCAAATTAGTAACATGCTGACAATCTATATATATACAAATAGTCGAAAGATCAGAACAAACTTTTAATTTTAATTAATCGACACTGATACACGTTACATATCAACACTGCTAATATTCTTCGACTGTCAACCTATCAACACAGAAAATATTCTATAACACTGTCAACCTATCATCACTGCTAATATTCTTCGACTGTCAACCTATCAATACTGCTAATATTCTATAACACTGTCAACCTATCATCACTGCTAATATTCTTCGACTGTCAACCTATCAACACAGAAAATATTCTATAACACTGTCAACATATCAACAATGCTAATATTCTTCGACTGTCAACCTATCAACACAGAAAATATTCTATAACACTGTCAACCTATCAACAATGCTAATATTCTTCGACTGTCAACCTATCAACACAGAAAATATTCTATAACACGGTCAACCTATCAACAATGCTAATATTCTTCGACTGTCAACCTATCAACACAGAAAATATTCTATAACACTGTCAACCTATCAACAATGCTAATATTCTTCGACTGTCAACCTATCAACACAGAAAATATTCTATAACACTGTCAACCTATCAACAATGCTAATATTCTTCGACTGTCAACCTATCAACACAGAACATATTCTATAACACTGTCAACCTATCATCACTGCTAATATTCTTCGACTGTCAACCTATCAACACAGAAAATATTCTATAACACTGTCAACCTATCATCACTGCTAATATTCTTCGACTGTCAACCTATCAACACAGAAAATATTCTATAACACTGTCAACCTATCAACAATGCTAATATTCTTCGACTGTCAACCTATCAACACAGAAAATATTCTATAACACTGTCAACCTATCATCACTGCTAATATTCTAGGACTGTCAACCTATCAACACAGAAAATATTCTATAACACTGTCAACCTATCATCACTGCTAATATTCTATGACTGCCAACCTATCAACACTGCTAATATTCTATGACTGTCAACCTATCAACACTGCTAATATTCTATGACTGTCAACCTATCAACACTGCTAATATTCTAGGACTGTCAACCTATCAACACTGCTAATTTTCTATGACTGTCAACCTATCAACACTGCTTATTTTCTATGACTGTCAACCTATCAACACTGCTAATTTTCTATGACTGTCAACCTATCAACACTGCTAATTTTCTATGACTGTCAACCTATCAACACTGCAAATTTTCTATGACTGTCAACCTATCAACACTGCTAATATTCTATGACTGTCAACCTATCATCACTGCTAATATTCTATAACACTGTCAACCTATCATCACTGCTAATGTTCTATAACACTGTCAACCTATCAACACTGCTAATATTCTAGGACTGCCAACTTATTAACACAGGAAATATTCATTCACTGTCAACCTACCAATACTTCTAATTTTCTAGGACTGTCAACCTATCAACACTTCCAATTTTCTAAGACTGTCAACTTATCAACACTGCTAATAATTCTACGACTGTCAACACTTCCAATTTTCTAGGATTGCCAACCTATCAATACTTCTAATTTTCTAGTACTGACAACCTATCAATACTTCTTATTTTCTAGGATTGCCAACCTACTAACACTTCCAATTTTCTAGGATTGTCAACCTATCAAGACTGCTAACATTCTATGATGGTCAACCTATCATCACTGCTAATATTCTATAACACTGTCAACCTATCATCACTGCTAATATTCTATAACACTGTCAACCTATCATCACTGCTAATATTCTATAACACTGTCAACCTATCATCACTGCTAATATTCTATGACTGTCAACCTATCAACACTGCTAATATTCTATGACTGTCAACCTATTAACACGGAAATATTCATTCACTGTCAACCTACCAATACTTCTAATTTTCTAGGACTGTCAACCTATCAACACTTCCAATTTTCTAGGACTGTCAACTTATCAACACTGCTAATAATTCTATGACTGTCAACTTATCAACACTGCTAATATTCTATGACTGTCAACTTATCAACACTGCTAATATTCTATGACTGTCAACCTATTAACACAGGAAATATTCATTCACTGTCAACCTATCATCACTGCTAATATTCTATAACACTGTCAACCTATCATCACTGCTAATATTCTATAACACTGTCAACATATCATCACTGCTAATATTCTATAACACTGTCAACCTATCATCACTGCTAACATTCTATAACACTGTCAACCTATCATCACTGCTAATATTCTATGACTGTCAACCTATCATCACTGCTAATATTCTATAACACTGTCAACCTATCATCACTGCTAATATTCTATAACACTGTCAACCTATCATCACTGCAAATATTCTATGACTGTCAACCTATCAACACTGCTAATATTCTATGATTGTCAACCTATCAACACTGCTAATTGTCTATGACTGTCAACCTATCAACACTGCTAATATTCTAGGACTGTCAACCTATTAACACATGAAATATTCATTCACTGTCAACCTACCAATACTTCTAATTTTCTAGGACTGTCAACCTATCAACACTTCCAATTTTCTAGGACTGTCAACTTATCAACACTGCTAATATTCTATGACTGTCAAGCTATCAATGCTGTAGTCTATGACTGACAACCTATTAATACGGCCAATGTCCAATCACTATCAACCCATCATCACTGCTAATATTCTATGATTGTTAACCCAATAAGACTTCTTATATTCTATGACTGTAAACCTATCTATATACGCTGTCATTCATTGACTGTCAACCTATCAACGCGGTCATTCAGAATACTAATATCATATTTATTACAATGAGCATTACCCACATCCGTGTAATTTTGTACTGGTTGGATGGTTAGGTGATGGTGATAAAATACAACATACATGTTATCAGTCAGCCCACTACCAAGTTGACAACCCTGTCACCATATTTACTCGGCCAATCCACCAAGAATGCAGACGTCGTGATAACATTAGTTCATTTCAAACAAAATACCGTTTAAATAATACTAAAATTGAATATCTTATCTAGGACAAACTGAGATTCTTCCTAAATTGTTTAACCAATGATTTTGCAGTTTTACTGTTTGAATAACCTAAAGTACAACATACGAGGTTTTCGGTTCGCGTGTAAATACATTAAAAAGATTATTGTATTGATACTTTTATATATTGAATGTACTTTGAATTCTGTCACAAAATCAGTCACACTTTATTTGTATTCAGTCCAATTTATCTGAGGGGATTTTAAGATCAAACGCGTTATCAAATTCGAGTCCCATTATGACAATACAGTATTGTGGCAGGTGTCGTTAAAGTGAGACATGCGGCATGCTCACTCTTCTAGAACACCTGGTGCCGATCTGCGGCTGGGTTTGTCAACTCGTCATCACTATATGAGTGAGTTCATATATTTAATATTGTTTATTTAGTGCATTTATTACATAGTACATGTAGTTGTCGACTCAAATTTCTTATAAATTATAATATGATATATCATTGTGTATACTTGATTCGAAACATAAAACTTAAATTGTAAACAATGTCATATTACTCTTCAATGAGATAGGATATAAATTCCTTCCTAAATTTTGTAAGTCTCTGATAATCTCAAGGTCATCATGTTAAAATCTAGTCAAGGTTGTCTCGAGGGGAATGTTTCAATGTCATTCATAAATCAATGCCTTTGCGAGTAGCAGATGCATTAGGTTTAATATATTAATGTAATATACAATTCGTGCATAGAAAATGCAGACGGAATAATATAGAATGTTTCCTTTTGTAACTCA